GGCACCTCCAGCCATGTCACTTCAAACTGTGTTTTCTGATCTGCGTTTTGCAGAACGGACTCGTGGCTGTCCCCTCACCTCGGTCCCTCCAGGACACTGCTCAGCCTTGTGGTACTCCAGTGGCTGTTCTTGTTATGTTGATGTTGACCTTCTCTTCTTTGGTCACCCCCAGGCAGTTTTCTTCTCAAATCACTGACAGGATTAATCAGACCAGTCTTTCTCCATATTTGTAAAAACTCTACTCACCTTCAGGAAATTACATTTCTCCATAAATGTCAACTCCTGTGCTATTAGAAATCCCCTTTATTATAGGCAAGAACCTCTCTGACTTCATTGTCAAATTTTTAAGGCATCAGAAAGCTGAAGTCTTCCCCTGAAGGTAGGTTGTGGAACTGTGATTCTATCACAAACCAAAATGGTCTTTTTATGTGAGCTGACCAGTACCATGACTGTATGATCTGACATTTGGAGTGCAGCATCTTCATTGATTGGTTATTGGTATATTTTAGGAACTTGCAAATTAAATCTGGTTTCTCAGCCTTGGCACAATTGACATTGTAAGCCCTAGTGATTCTTTGTTGTAAGAGACCGTTCTGTGCATTGTAGGATGTTTAGCATCATTCCTGGCCTCTATCCCGTAGATGTCAGTAGCATTTCCACATTGTGACAACCAAAAGTGTCTCCAGATATTGCCAGATGTCCCCAGGAGCACAAAATCACTCCCGGTTGAGAACCAGTACCTTACGCTATGCCCTGTGTGTGAGGCTACAGCCAGAATATTATGCCTGCCTCTGTGAAAAACGCATTCTGTTTCTCTGCACTCACACGGCAATTCTGCAACCACATGTGGGGGCAGGAGAAGAGCTCCCCATACTCTAAGCAGTTCTCTAACTCTCCAAACACCAGCTGGGTGTCCCGCAGTTTAATTCAATTCTGACACTATCTGTCTACCTGGAGTTAGCATCAAATCCCACACATTAAGGGTACATGTTTTTGTTTGAACATCTGTTTTCAGTTATTTTGGGTACAAACCCAGGAGTGGCATTGCTGTGCCGTATGATAATTCCATCTGACTTATTGAGATACTGCTAAACTTTTTCACAGCACTTCACCATTTTAAATTTCCACCAGCAGTGCATGAGGGTTCATTTCTCCACATGCTCACCAATACTTACGTTGGTTTGTTTTGTTTTTTCGCTAGTAAGTGTGAAGTGGTGTCTCCTTGTGGCCTTGATTTGGGTTTCCCTAATGACTAATGAGGTTAAGCATTTTTTGCATGTGCATGTTGGCTGTTTGTCTATCTTCTTTGGAATGCCCTTCATCTACGTGCTTCTATAGCAGTGTATTTGCTTTATATGATTCTTTATCTTTTTTTACTATGACATGACTTTTTTAAGAGACTGGGCCAAATGCCATGTAGAAAATTTTACACGCTAAATTTTTCTCAATTTTTTTTGTAGTGACATTTAACTGTTTCAGTTACACCACCCCCACCCTCACCCTATTTTCATCCTTCACTGTTTACTATATAATCAATCAGTTATGTCTAAACACTTGATTGAAGTCTCATTGAATTTTTTTTTTTTTTTTTTACCATAATCTGCCTTGTTTGTAAAATGGGGCTAATACACTCTTCAAGAGAGAGATTGGTTTTTGGAAATAAATGCATTGCTCAAATCTTTGTTAACATAATTTTGAAATTTTCTCTTTTTTATCTTCATGCTATTGTCCTTTATTTTATAATGCAGAATGTATACATTAGGCTTATGTTGTAAAGTGGCAAATTTAATTTAGTTTTAATTCTCTGAATTTTGACATCTCCAAGTCTAAGCCATCATTGTATACTGTGAATTTTTAGATTTAAATATATTTTAAAGTTAGTTTATTTCTTAGCTAATTTAACCCTTAGGCAAGTGTTTGACTTTTTGATATTTTAGAGTAAGTGGGTGAATGTGGAAAGTAGTTTTCATTACTCTATTTGTTTCCCTTTCAGAAAAAGTTGCCTTTGACAACACTGGCTCAGTGTTTGATGGAGGGGTCAGCTATCCTGGGAGATGACACACTTCTTGGGTAAGCCAAATCTAGGAAAGTCCCCAGCCACAAAAAGGGGATTATCAGTCCTCAGGGAAGCACTGAGGACACTTGAATTCTGGCTCAGGACTTGAGTGGGGAAGAAGAAAATGTTACCAGTGAGAAATCAAAACCCTCCACTCCAAAGTTCCATTGTCTGTGCAGCCAGACAAGTCCCAAGTGGAGAAATTAACATAAAATTGGCGAAGGAAGATTGAAATCCCTAGGGCTCCAGCAGAAGCAAATACACAACCTCTCAATGTCAGAAGTCATCACTTGTGAGATTTCCCAGAAGAACACCCCTTGCTGATTTTGAGCTTACCATAAAACAAACTAAAAATAGAATTCTGATGAGAGAGCATCAGCAGACACAGTCAGTCTGAGAATCTGTAACCTGAGGTCTAAAAACAATAGAGCAGTATGAAAGAAAATATCAAAGAGTGGTTTTAAATGAAATTAAAAAATTAATGACAATAAATTTTTGACAAAAGAATCAAACAATATGAAAAAAGAATGGGCAAAATTGAAGCAAAACCAAATAGGACTTTTAAAAGTAAAAATTGTACAGAAAATTAAAAAACTTAGTTGAAGTGCACTGGAGATTGTGCTCAAAGAGAGAACTGGCGAACCTGAAAACAGATCTGGAGCTGCCATGTAGAATGTGCAGTGTGCAGTACACGCAATAAGGGTGTGGCGTTATTATACTGGGAGACATGGGACAGCATGCTGGTGTGTGACACTCTGTCTAGTGGGAGCTCCTGAAGAAGAAAACAGGAGGAAGGAGAAGTTTGTAGGTGATGTTTTCTCTTCCAGGTTTGAAGAAAAACATAAGTCTTTAGATTTAAGAAGCTTAAGAAGTTCTAATTGAGATCAACAAAAAATCCATCCCTAGACATAGTGTAATAAAACTACAAGTTATCAACAGGAAAGAGAGAAATTTGAAAACAACCAGAGGAAAAAAAAGATAATTACCTAAAAAGAGCAGTTAAACTGATAACAAGCTATTTATTCATCAGCCAAATAAATACCAGGAGATAATAGAGGAATATCTTTAAGTATTGAGCAAAAATACAGGAAACCTAGAATTCTGTGATCAACTAAATCATTGTTCAAGAATAAGAGGGAAATAAAGATAAGTTACTACTTGCATATTCTCACTGAAAGGTCTAGTGAAGCCTGTGTGAAATAGATTATGTCCAGAAGAAAGACGTGCAGGTAGCAAGGTAGAATAAAAACATTAGTTCATGTATGTAGGGGAGTGAAAAAAAAATCTTTGTCCTGCTAACTGTATGAGGTTCATTGGCTGAGGCCCTGCTAATTAGATGGACTAAAGACAGATTAACTAGAGAAAAGTAGAGAAAAGCATACAAATTTTATCAACATATGCAGCATATGCACATGGGAGCACTTGGTCATGAGTAACCCAGAGGAGTTTGTAAAGCACCTTAACAAAAACATAGTAATTTTTAGAGAAGTAACAAGACAAAGGAAAAGGACTTAGAGTGTCTAGGGTGGCAGACTGTGGGAAAATGAATACGGGGGAGCTAATGGAAGATAAGGGCGAGTGAGTGAACTTTGTTATGTGGGTTCCTCTTATGCTGACTCTGGGCTGATAAGGGTCTACAGTTGCCTCTGGTGATGGGCATCTGTCCTTCCTGGTAGAGAGGGGAAAGGGGACACCTTTAGGGGACACCTTTACAAATTTATGTCCTGCTTTTAGGCAGCTAGGGAGAGGGTGGACAAGAGTTTTTGTGTCTGCGTCTCAACTGCCTTTAGCTCAAAATAGTCCTCATGCAAAAGTGGCATATTTGGGGGAGATATTTTTGGGGAGAATCAATGTTATAAGATATTGTATTGTTTGAAAGGAGGATAAAGTTATTGATATTACATTTAAATTTAATGCCAAATGTGCATGTTAAAAAAGTAAAAGTAACTACAAAAAGAATAAAACCTAGAATGTATACAACTTCCAAACTAGTAAAAGGATGAAAAGGGAAATAAACAAACAAACAAAAAAACCCATAGAAGGGACTAAAAGCAAAAAGTAAGCAAAGGAAAAGCATAATAAATAGAAATAGAAAAGAAGGTGATAGCAATTACTGCATATAGATATGCAGCCATTAGAGATGTAAGTGGAATAAACTGTTTAAAGTATAGAGAATCTCAGGTGGATGAACATGAGATCTTGTGTGGAATTTCCAAGAGAAATTCCTAAAACAGTGACACAGCAAGGTTGGACGTAATGATGACAGACTGAAATACGTCTGCTTTGTCCCCTTCCAAAATCCGCTAAAATGATAGAAAAGGGATTTTTTTTTTCCCCTCAAAAGACATAAACTCACAAAGGCAGGAAAAACAGGAGAAAAGACAACAGCAGCATAATTTTGTGAGCTATAAAGCATATGAATGAATGGGAACTGACTTGGCAAGTCCTGGAAAGCTGACGCCCAAGCCAGAAGGGGGATATGCAGAGAGCTGATATAATTTGTACCGTGAAATACTTACAGTGCTCAGGAATTGGTGGCACCAGGGATCTCTGAAGTACTGGGTCTTTGGAGGGGAGGTGGGTGACTAAAATAATGAATGTGGGTTAAAAGCATTTCAAGCGCTACTTGGATCAATAAAACCTTATCCCTATCCACACCTCTAGGAGAGATTCATTCCCTGCACCCCCACCCCAGCGGAAGTCTAGAGCTTTATTCTCTTGAGGTTGTAAAACAGAGCATCTCTAGAGTGGGGCCTTGAGCACAGTGGAGTTAAGGGTACCATTCAGGAAAGAAGAGGATTAAGTGATCCAATGCATACCCGGTGCTGAGACTCCTTAGACTCCTTAGTCCCCCACCCACGTGGCCCCCAGGCCTTTCCCCTCCAGGCAGGGTAAATTAGATCAATGGAAACTCCCATTACTAGTGAAATTTTCACACATGGAAAAAGAGACTGCACACAATTATTTACTGCAGCACTGCATCTGATAGCCCAAAACTCTTGATGATGGGAAAGCTTAATAAATGGTGGTACATGTCGATCCTTGATCAATGCACGGGTTGGGGGTGCCAACCCCCCACTCAGTCAGAAATCCATATATTAAGTTATCAAAAATCAATATCAAAAGTTATCATATAACTTTTGACTGCCCCAGAACTTAACTACTTACAGCCTACTGTCGACCAGAAGCCTTACTGATAGTCGGTTAACACATACTTTATATTATGTATTATAATAAATTTAGCCAGAGAAAAGAAAATGTGGCCAATGGTGCCATGTACAGTCTATAAATGTTTGCGTGTGTAAGTTTTGATAAATTTTAACTTTTGTAACATTTGTATGTATTTTATGGTAGTAAATGGTAAAGTAGACTAACATCTACATATTTCTATACATTCATGACATGCCTGTTTCTTAATTTTATTTATTTCTGGGCTACGTGGTTCATCTGCGAGTTTTATCAAATTGTCACACATCTCCAAAAGATTTTCTAATATATTTATTGAAAAAAATCTACCTATATAAGTGGACCTGCGCAGTTCAAACTTGTGTGTTCAAGGGTCAACTGTATATTCTTAGAATGGGATTCCGTGTAGTGGATCTAACTCTGCATGTATCAGCGTGGATAAGCCCCAAACATAATGATAATGCAAATAGTATAACCATATGTTCAGTGTAAAACCGTTGTTGCAAATGTTTTTAACTAAGCAAAGAAACTGTATTATATATTGCATGTGAATACATACATATGAATAAAAGTGTAAAATTATGGACAGGAGAGGAGTATATACATTGACTTCAGAATAACTAGTATAACCATATGTTCAGTGTAAAACCGTTGTTGCAAATGTTTTTAACTAAGCAAAGAAATTGTATTATATATTGCATGTGAATACATACATATGAATAAAAGTGTAAAATTATGGACAGGAGAGGAGTATATACATTGACTTCAGAATAACAGCTCTCCTCTTACTTTGCTGATTTGCAAAAACATTTTACATGAATTTCAGTTAACACGGTACCATGCAAAGGGAGTATGGGCTGTTTCCCACTCCCTTTGGGGAATTGACATCTTTGAAATAGTGTGTCCTCTCATCTAGGAAGATGACCACTCAGGTCTTCTGTCATTTGTCATCATTAACCAACTTTTCAATGGTTTTTCCTACTTTTTCCATTGGATAATTGTCCACCCATCCTGTAATAAGTAAGTTTTCATGGCATAGGAGTAAGCGTTTTCTTTCTATTAGGACCTATTAAAATTGAATTTTGGGTATGTGTTTGAAGGTATTGGTTTGTTAAAGGATCGATTTTAGCTAGTTTTTCCAGTGCTCCCAGGGGAGATAGAAGCATCCAGCTCTTTTTAGGCTTGTGATTTTTGGCATGTGTGAGTCTGTTTTTTCCACATCTCTTGTGTTTCTCCACCTGTCCTCTTTGGCCCTAAGCACGCTGTGAATACTCAGCACCATTTGGAAGAATTGACCATTTCAGAAATGAAATGCTGACTCCTGAAAGTTTACTGAGCTGGGGATGGCGAGAGGTTCGCTCAGGTGAAATTCTGTCTTGGAGGGTGTTCAGTATGTTTTTCTCGTCCATTGCAGGAAGATGCTGAAACTCTGTGGGGAGACAGAGGACAAGCTGGCTCAGGAGCTGATACACTTTGAATTGCAGGTGGAGAGGGATGTGATTGAGCCCCTGTTTTTGCTGGCTGAGGTGAGCATCAGGAATGAGGCCAGGCCAGGGTGAGCAGGGGACACGAACAGGAGCCCCCTTGGTCATTCTGCTTCCAGCCTTATTATCCTTTCAGTACCTCACTCTACTCCCTGACATTGTTTTCACCAGGAATTATTACTATGCAACCATATGGTCAAGATCCCCAAATAGGGCAGCCCTTTGCCCACCTGTACTCTTCTGTGCTGGCATCCTACAGGTCCAGGTGCAAAGCCAGCAGCATTACCTTCTTCCCCACCCAGAGTCTTGAGTCCATCACCCTGTGTCCCCACCCATCTCAAGTCATCAGTGAAATGAACAGCAGACTCCCAGCCCTCCTTTACAAGGAGACTGAAGACTTGTGTCCAAGAGACTGTAAGGCCTCTTGTGGTTTATATTTATATAGGTCTCTTCTCTTTGGACTTTAAAGGACACTATATTATACTACTTTATTAAAGAGTTTTTATTTGCCTTGACCCCAGACCTCTCCCAATTGCCTTTTGATTGGTCATATAAAAGCTCTCCAGAGCTACCCTCTTGAACTCCCTGCAATGATGGAAATGTTCTACATCTGCACAGTTTGGTAGCCACTATGTGGTTATTGAGCACTGGAAATATGGTTAGTGTGACTCAGGAATTCAGGGTTTTTTAAAAACTTTTTTATTTAATTCAGTTTTCATTTAAATTTGGAATGACTTAGCCACACGTAGCCAGAGGCTACTGTATTAACAGCACCATCCTAGACCACATCTGGTTTCCTCTCTGTACCACCTCCAGCACCTACACATCCCCTGGCACTCTTTCTGGGACAGATGCATGGGTAAACAATTACTTACATGCCTAAAAGTATTCAAGGAGAAAATCCTAGGTATAGTGCTTTGCCATAGACCAGCTCTGGGCTTCTCAGATTCCGTCCTGCTGCAGGTCATCCCATAGTCTAGAGCATTCAGGAGAGGCCCATTGCTCTTCATCAGGGTGGTGTGGGGCTTGGTCCTAAGCCTGAAGCTAAACCAAGGAGCAAGTCTGACCCGGGTGCTGAGACTCACTTGGGGTGGCTCTATAAGTACCACGTGGCTCTCCAGCTTTGCCTCGGGCTCGAGGGTGGCTCAGGTTGCCTCCAGAGAGTTGCACGTCTCCTTCCTGCTAGAAGTTGCTACTCTCAGTGTATTACTCATGCGTGCTCAGAAGAGTGAACAGAAAGCACTTCATAGAACACTGGATTTTCCTCACGTTTTTTCTTTATATAAAAACCACAGCCTGAGATGATTTTGGTTCAATTTACGGCCAATTTTCCTTTTTAATTCTCACATCCTGCCCTACTTTTGCTGGGCCTAGAACCAAAATCATGCACTGGAATGTTCAGTGAAGTTATTTTTAGAAAGAAAAATATAAAAAGAGTATCTACATACAACCAATATGGAAGAACTCAGCCGAGAAAAGCCGTGGTGGCCGTGTTGATTCATTATTTACTTTGGAAAAAATCTCCCCTTATTTCTATAAATATAAAAATTTGCACCCTTTATTGCTATAAATATAAAATCTGTATCCTCACTGCATTCCTCATAGCAGCCCAGGTCTCCTGAGACCCACGCTCTTCATCCCTGAGCTGTGCGTTCTGAGTCTGGTCTGTGTGTCACATCTTAATGCCGGGCTTCCTCCATTTCTCCCCACTTTTGGCCCTTGTGGAAGTACAGAGAGAGGTGATTGAGCCCCTGTTTGATGGGGGGCCTGGCAAGTGTCCAGAGAAGCAACAAGAGAGTTTAGCTCAGGAAAAGGAATCAAGAATTTTATCTGATGTTGGTCAAAGGGTACAAAGTTTTGTTTATGCAAGATGAGTAAATTCTGAAGACCCAATGTAGTGACTAGTCAACAAGGCTGTGTTGTATACTTGAAATTTGCTAAGAGAGGAGATCATAAGTGTTCTCAGCACAAAAAGAAAATGGTAACTGTGAAAATGGTAACTATGTCAATCAGCTCGAGTGTGGTAATCATTTCACAATGTGTGCATATCAAAACATCACATTGTACACCTAAAACATGCACAATTTTTATGTGTCAATTATACCTCAATAAAGTGGAGGGAAGAAAGGATTTCATTTGAAAATAAGGATTGGGAGATCTCTAGCGAACTTCTTGGGTGACTGTCAATAGTTTTTAAAGAATTATTCTAAAGAATAGTTCTTAAATAATTTATCTTGAGGATCAGTTTGGTTGTGTCTTTTATCTCCTGTAACCACAGGTGGAAATCCCCAATATTCAAAAGCAGAGGAAACATTTAGCAAAGTTGGTGCTGGACATGGATTCTTCACGAACCAGGTAGAGTTTCTTTGCTTCCTTTTTGCTGCTTTAAAGGAACAGTGATTGTATTTGAGAGTGGGGGGTTGTGTGGGGTGGGTGGGTTTTCATCACCAAGTTGCACTTAACACCAACTACGTGCCAGGCACTGGAGGTAATAGCAGTGAACCAGAGGGACTGTGTCCCTGCACTCATGGAGGCTGCGGTCGAGTTTTGGAGATAGACACTAGGCAGGTGAACAAAGACGGTGATTTCAGGCAGCCATAGTCGTATAAAGAAAATAACACATGGTGATTTGGGAAGAGACTGAAGGAGAAAGGGAGCAATGACATTGGTAGGGGAAAACAGAGAAGCCTTTTTTGAGGCGGTATCACTTGATATGAGTCTTAAACAATGAGAAGGAGGTAGCCATGCAAAGATCTGGTGTAAACTGTCTGCAGCAGCAGGAATAGCAAATGCAGGGACCCTCAGTTGCAGTAGGCTTGGCATGTGCAAGGCACAGAAAGAAGCCTGGCCTGGCTGCGGTGGCAGGAACAACCGGAAGAGAAGTAGGAGATGAGATCCAAGAGGTAAGACAATGATGTGTCGCATCTGTGACAGGGGGAGAATTTCTAATTTCCTGCAGCTCCTGGTGTAGATTTCTCCTTTCTGCAGCCATTCTCTAAGCCTGAGACCCTTCCGACAGCAGTAAAGTTCCTACAGTGCTGTTTTTCTGTACCTGTCTCCCAAAGTCCACCAGAAAATCCCTGTGGTAGCAGGGGAGAGCCAGAGGCCCTGAGGTGACTGTGCTGTCACGTGGGGATTGTGCATATGTGCCCTTTATTTTTTACAGTGAGGTGTGTGTGTGTATGTGTGCACACTGAAAGAGAGTGCGCCCATGAATACTGATACAGAAGGAACCATTTGGTTCCACCTGAGGTCTTTTGTTAGTCAGTTTTAATAATCTTTGCATCTTGTTTCAATTTTCTTGAAATTAAAAAACAAAAACAATATGCTTGGGCAGAGAGATATAGGGTAAAGAGTCCTGCAGCAGGAGTCAGAAGGTCAGGTTCCAAGATCCAGCCAGGTCAGCTATGTTGTAGACCTGAGACCTCAGTCAAGTCACTTAATCTCCCAGAGTATTGGTTTCCCCACCAGTCCACAGGTAGTAACAACATTTGTGAGTTGGGCTGAGGTGGTTGTTCTGAATATCACATGAGAGCATGTATATTTCATCCCTTCTCTAGTGCTTCTCAAAAAGAAGCTGATACTATAACTAGTTGGTTCACTGGAATGCAGCATCTGGATAATAAAAGGTATAGGGCAGTGAGTTGGGCTGAGGTGGTTGTTCTGAATATCACATGAGAGCATGTATATTTCATCCCTTCCCTAGTGCTTCTCAAAAAGAAGCTGATACTATAACTAGTTGGTTCACTGGAATGCAGCATCTGGATAATAAAAGGTATAGGGCCGTCCCCCAAGACCAGAAATAAAACAGGTTAAATCAGAAGATAAACAAGAGTTTCTTTTATTAACTTAGTGTTTCCCAAACCTCAGTCCATCTAAGTGGTTTTTGCCATCTGTGCCTGTATGTAAGAGTTGATTGCTTTTTTTTTTTGGCAGCTTGCTGGTACAAAGTTGATTACTTTTTAAAGTAAATCTATTTTTAAAAGAAATCGTATAGCACCATCATTAATTAGAAATCAGTTCCCTTTGCTACAAATATTAGGTAAGCATAAAAGTGAGTGGTTGAAAGCAAAGTCGATGTTATTGAATTTTAGATCCTGTTGGCTGTGAAAGGCTGTCATCCCGAAACTAACATTCCTTTGTTAAAAAGGAAGTGGAGGAGGTGTTGGAGAGGTGTTAAAACTATTCTGACACCAATCTGAGGCTTACTTGGAGGAAAAGAGAGATCCTGTTGGCTGTGAAAGGCTGTCATCCCGAAACTAACATTCCTTTGTTAAAAAGGAAGAGGAGGAGGTGTTGGAGAGGTGTTAAAACTATTCTGACACCAATCTGAGGCTTACTTGGAGGAAAAGAGAAAAAAAAAATGGGGAGTATCGATTTACTGTTACTACTATGTTCCCGCATGCATAAAATTGCATCCCATTAAATGAATGTTCAAGTCCCATGTCTTGGGAGTCATGTAAGATGATCAAAGAAATGCTGATCATTGCATTGTTATGATGAGATGGACACGGTGCTCCCTGGGTTTGTGGAGTGATTTCCTTCTGTGAGAACCTGGGTTTTAGCTCAGGTCTTTTCTTGGCTTCTATCAGGAAAACCCAAATTTCCAGTGCAGAGCTTCCAGTTGGAGGGCTGAATGCTATTATCAAACATGTCATTACCATCTCACTTATGTGTTTCTGTTTGGTCTTATGAGAAGGAGAGTTACCCCTGGGTCACAGCCATGGTCTGTACTGTCTAGTGTTAACGTTTTTAATGGTGACACCAAGTGGTGTGTGGGTTCTGAAAGCTTAGGGAAGTGTCATTAGGGACCTCTTATCCACAATTTAACACACTTTTTCATATCTTGAGTTTATCATCTCTTGTACACTGGGATCTGGTAAGGAAATTTCTACACCCCCCATTCACATCTCTGGGCTTATAAACTTCAACTCTGACCCTTTACAACCTTTGCTGTTTTCGACTAAAAAAGTCCTTCTACGTTATTCTCATATAAACCCGATCCAATCTCCTTTATCATATTAGTGGTTTTTCATAGCCCATTTTGTGAAGTTGTGAGTTTATGTGTAGGGGATTGCTTTGGAGGGATTGTTACCAGTGTAGTCCCCTCAAAAACTCAGCTGACTTCCATACGTGTTTCTGCTTTAGTAACCACACTGGAAGATCTAACCCAATGCCTCACATTGTGGATTCTCCATCAGTTTAGGTTGTAGGCTATAGGAGGAAAGGGGCTTTCTTAGCAAAGGTATGCTCTTTCTTCTTGCTGTACTCTGACTGACCAGTTCTAGCCTGAGTTTATCCATCTTGTAGGACTTTGCTGAAAGCCACAAGAAGCAGCCAACTCACCCCAACTTCCTGTCATGTCCCTTAACACTTCACTCTTAGCATGAGGACTGGGTCCCAAGATACCACTGTGAGAGTAAGACCAGGTGCTGGATATTGAATAGCAAGGATCACCAGCGGTTTTTCTGGAACATGGGATCTCAGTGCCCTTTACCTCCACCCAATGCTGTTTTTACTCATGATTACCAAAGCTTTCTTTAGTCCTGTTCTGTTCTTCATGAATGACACTATCCAGAACTGAAACAGCAGACTCCACTTAGAGACATTTCTGCCTTTCAAGAAAGACAGGATCTTTTTTATATTATCAACCATCTTGATCAATAGTTCTGGGACTAGATCTTTGAATTCTACTACTGTGCTCTTCAATACCATCAAATCTAATTTACACACCTTTTAATTAGGTCTAAATCAAATGGGTACATTTGTCACTATTCAAGTAAATCTGTATTGCCTCATTCAAAAGCCAATGATACAGACCTTAATATCCTCAGAGAAGAGTGACGCTTAGAAGATGAATATAAGGTTATACATGAAAACAATGGAGAAAAATGCAAGGAAGCTTTATGCTGAGTTAAAGATTGTTAATTGAAATGAATGTGCCTGATACACAAGAATTTTTTCTGTGATACGTGCTTTGACAGTGGTTAAAGAAGGGGTCAGATTTTTCCCCAAAGTTTCTATGGTTATATATCTCAAGGTTAACTCTTCTGAGTCCAGAACACTCTCTGTTTCTGCTGAACAGGTGCCTCTGGGTCATGTGGACTGAATTGGTGTTCCCCCAAAATTCATGTTGAAGCTCTAACTCCCAATGTGACTGTATTTGGAGATAGGTCTTTAAGAGGTAATTAAGGCTAAATGAGGTCATAGGGTTGGGGCCCAAATTTGATGATTGGTAGCCTTGTAACAAGAAGAGAGACAGAGAGAGAGAGAGAGAGAGACCTCTACTCATGTGCTCAGAGGAGAGGCCTTGTGAGGACACAGCAAGAAGGCAGCCATCTGCAAGCCAGGAAGAGAGGCCTCACCAACCTGAACCCCCTGGAACCTTGATCTTGGACTCCCAGCCTGGAGAAGTGTGAGAAAATGAACTTGTGTCATTTAAGCCATCGAGTCTGTGGTACTTTGCTATGGAAGTGTGAGCAGACTAAGACATCTACCTTCTTTGGAAGTGAGTGAATTAGTATAAGTAAGACTGAAGAGTTTTGGAAAGGATACTGAGCAACCCATGGAATTAGAGAGGAAGTGGGTAACTGGAAGTGGAATCCTGGTGCCGTGGCAGTTTTGACACCTCTGGGTCTGGCAGCAGAGTCTTTATGGTTACCAGGAGTTATTCCTCATCTCCCACCTCTGCTTCTCTCCACATACAGGTGTCTTTTTCTTAGATCCATTTTCTTCATGGTCACTGGATGGCCTTTGGGCTCATGTCCCCCCAGTATGAGCCCTCTTCTTGCTGTTCCATTTCTAAAAATGCAAAAGAGAGCTCCATTTGTGTCGACTTTGCTGTGTGTGTGACCCGTGTGTGGGCCAGGGTGATGAAGAGTAGGCACAGGCTTGGCTTGTGGCAGGGGCTTCCCTGGGCCACTCGCTGCTGGGATCACACAAAAAATGGCAGTTCCCTTTTAAACCATACAACAGAGCAGAAGGGGAAGCAGAAACTCAGAAAGTACCCAGTGCCAATGATGGAAGAAAGGAGAAGACTGGGCAGATGAAACAGTGAATGCCACACTAAAGAAACTTTCCTGTTTGCTTTCCAAAAATTCTTCTTCTGGACTTTCCCCTGTCCTAAACTGATCTTGCATGTGTCTTCTTTACCCGTTCCCTGAAATTCCAAACTTATTTCTCTCTTCTCTCTCTCATCTGGCCTTCATTAGGCTTGTGTCCTGTCTTCATCTCTCCAAGGTCATATAGTCACAGCCCTCTTTCCCCAGAGAATGATGGTTGTATGTTAGTGGGAAGACATTATCTTTCTGCTCTTCAAATTTCAAAGCTCAGGGCCGGCCCGGTGGCGCACTGGATAGTGCGCCGCTTGGGAAGCGCGGCGGCGCTCCCGCCGAGGGTTCGGATCCCACATGCAGACCGGTTCCCGCTCACTGGCTGAGCGAGGCGCGGGAGCAACACCGAGGGTTGCGATCCCATTGCCGGTCCCCGGTCCGGTACGGGGGCAACACTGAGGGTTGAGATCCGTTGCCGGACACGGAAAAAGACAAAAGACAAAAAAAAAAATTTCAAAGCTCAAACTCTTCTTGGGCGATGTACAGTATCCCTTTCTCTGACAAAGCAGTCTCAACTCTTGAGTTTATTTGTAGAGAAAATGACAGAGAAGCCATCTTCAAGCCATGTCATTTTTCCCAGCAGGTTACTACCCGTAAAATTTTCCCAAGTTTCCTGTGATATTTTGATCTTATCATCACTGTTTTATAATATCAAAATAGATTACTTATATGTTGCAAATAAAATTTCCTATAGAGAGGAGAAAGGTATGTTTTTAAAGTACTAGGATATTGACTATGGGATAGAATTTGGGGGAAAAAAATAGAGGTGAATAGGGAAGAAAAGAAAGAAAGAACTTGGGAAAATGTCTTCATTTTAATATACATATATGAAGTATAATTCAAATTCTAAAAAAACCTAATTCAGATTTACAAAGCAGTGAAAATCAGCTTAGTGTTTGTAGTCACTTTACATATATATATTTTAGCAGGTAAATATTGGCCAGTTGTTTTTACTTCAGGTAACATGTGTAAGATGGTGGTTGTATTAGTCTGTTTCTGTTGCTTATAACAGAATACCCAAAACTTGGTATTTATAAAGAAATGGATTTTATTTCTTACAGTTTTGGAGGCTGGGAAGTCCACGATCCAGGGGGTGCATGTGGTGAGGGCCTTCTTCTGGGTGGGAACTCTCTACAGGGTCCCATGGTGACCTCAGAATGGGCTGAGCAAGAGAGCTAACTTCTCAGTCACTCTTATAAAGCTGTCAGAACCACACCCACTACTCTATGAATGGGTCAGCCTGTTTTGGAGGGCACAGTCCTCACAATCCAGTCACCTCTTAAAAGGCCTCATCTTTCAAATTCCATAATGGGATTTCCCACCCTCTTAACACTGTTTCAATGGAGATTAAGTTTCCAGTGCATGAACTTTTGGGGGACACATTTGACTCATAACAGTGGTTGTAACTTGATTTAATGGTATACCACGGAGGTATATTTGTTGTCTGAGATATAAACTACTACTATGGCATCTCCTATTTTATTTGCCAAAAACCCCCACAACAGTTTAATACTTTATTTGAAATGGTTAAACCTGAGAGGTATTAATCAGATGTATCATTTGTGTAGAGCAAACCTTTATAAAAAAGAATTACTCAGGAATTCTGACTAATCCTTGTCTGTTAATTTATTTCAGTTTGGATTTTGAAACATTTTACTTCATCCAGCTTAGATTTTGAAACATCTTTTAGTAAAGTATTTCCTTTCTAATTTGCCCTGAATTCTTATCTTGAAATCAGGAGTCTTTCCCAGGACATGTCCATTTCTGGAGCTTCAAGACAGCTTGATGTCCCAAAGCCTTTTTAAAGTAATTTTCCTGTGGTTGCATTCTTTAAGTGACAGAAAATCCTTTATTTGAGAATCCTTTTTTGGCTACTTTATGCTAATAACGAAAAGAACTTTAGCTTTCCCCTCTTTTATCATGGAGCCCTGCACTTTTCTGTTTTCCTTGCAGACAACAAAAGAGAAAAGGAAAAATGATTAAAGTACGTAGTGATTAGATTCTTGACTCTCAAGATGAGGGTAATGTTCCTCTTTTTGCCTCTATGATGGAGGCTACAGATTGATGGTCCGAGAGCCAGACAGAGCCTGCAGAGCTGTCTTGTTTGGTCTGTACCCTATCGGCCTGCATGGTGCTTAAAAGAAATTATCGAATCAGTTGCCTCATTTCATCAGGAGAGTTCGCATGAAAGTGTCCAGCTTCTCTTGTCACTGGACACATCTGGCAACTCAGGCCCGTGTTCTTCCCTACCTGGGCCCCATCAGCCCAGGCTGGAGAGCAGCTGCCCCTCTTAGACAGGGCAGCACCCCCAGTTCACCTGCTCTTTCCCCTCCCTCGTGACTGCCCAAGGCTGAACCCAGGTGTCAGCTGCCTTCATCATCCTGATTACACTATTGCTTTTCAAGTAGGAAATAAAAGATCAAGTGGACTCATTTTTCAGATAATGGCCCATTTGACTCACTTTTCTTACTTGCTGGTTCCTATAAGCCATTGAGTTTACACACTCAGAGGAAGAGGAACCCACTGCTGAGCCCTATTTTAGCTACTACCATCTAGTGTAATTGGAACCTTCTTTCAGGGCCTGCTTTTGGTAATTCCCTGATGATGACATGGCATCCAGAAATATTTCTACTTCCCCCAGAAACTCTTCTGAGTGGCTTCCTCAGAAGGCCGGTATTCTCTCCACAATGATAAATTCCAAGGAAACATAAATGAGGTATCTAAATGTTGATATGAAGTTGTTTAGTGCTTACCAGTGGAGATTTTTGCTTTTAGATTTGTTTTAAATCTTCTCTCTTGCAGACATTATTGGCTTCAGCCAAGTAGGTGACTGTTTCCAAACTCAAATGCCCACAGGTTGGGCAGGAGCTTAAATGAACGACAGAAACTGTGCTTAAAAGACAGCAATAGCTATTTTGAAATATACAGTACATTGTTATTAACTGTATAATGACTTGTAATAATGAAACTGATTAAGTTTCAAACGTCTCACTACAAAAAGGAATAAGTGAGGTGATGGATATGTTAGTTAGCTTGATTTAATCATTTCATATTATATACATGTATCAGTGCATCATGTTGTTTCCTATAAATGTATACAATTATGATTTGTCAATAAAAAATAACATTAATTTAAAAAAACCCAAAACAGCAATAGTCATTGTCACTTGGCCTTAACATTTGAAAGAGTAGGGAAAATGGCAAAAGGGGAATGTTTGTCCTATCTGAAGAGGCAACTGATTTTGTGCTGCAGTCAGTAGCTGCCTTGTGGAAATGCAAGCCCCTCTCCCCTGGCCTGGCACTTGCTGCCTTTTCATTACCTCCTTTCCAGTGAGGGTGCATATTTCTCTGGGTAAGATTTGTAACCTCGTATTTTCTCAGCATTCCCAGGATATCCCGAGGGCTCAACCTGTCTCTCACCTGTGCTCTTTTTCTCCTGTCTTCCATCAGGTGGCAGCAGACGTCCAAGTCTTCAGGCTTGTCCAGCAGCTTACAGCCTGCCGGGGCCAAAGCCGATGCCCTCAGGGAAGAAATGGAGGAGGCTGCCAACAGAGTGGAGATTTGCAGGGTACCCCCTTCCTTGCTCCTCTCTGCTGGGATGCACTGGGGAGCCCTCAGGGGTTTCCTTTCTGTTCACTGGAGTTCTCTCTGTCTGTTAGCGAGCTTGTAGTTGAACTTCACACCAACTAGAAGCTGGCCTGCTAACCTCTCCAGAGTCTAGGATGAGCCCAAACAGTTGGGGCTCTGATGGTGACCTTGGCAGGGAGGCAGCCTTGGATTATTTATTGGCGTTCCTGCATGGTAGACAAAGAGAAAATGACTTGTGTTTCTGTGCGAAGCTTTTGTAAGTCACCTGAGTCCCAAAGAATGTATTCTAGGCCACACAGGACAGTTGAAAATTTAGACCATGAATGATCCTTGACTCACTGTTGACATTAAATTGTTTCTTGTTTGCTCTTTAATATTTCCTGAGTCACCTTATCAAATCTATGCCTTTTGGAAGACTTTTGCCTATGAAGTTGAACTGCTAGCTATAGAGAAAAGAAAACTTCCCACTTGTTAGGAGAGTGCATCTTTCCCTAAACTGGGACTCTACTCTCATGGAATAATGTCCTTTGTTACACTTACTCAATGTGTCCCATCTTCTTTCCTCCTTAACATTTTATAGGACTTAATTAGCAATAATACAATCATTATACTCTGCATGTATATATACCGTTCACATGAGCATATGTCAGTTTGTGTTTCCAGGGAAACCAAAACTGTATTTACACCCAAGGAATAAAAATGTCATGTTTCTATAACTATTCTGGGTACCTCTTACCTTAATCACATAGAGTTTTAAGGGAGAAAACCACTTTGCATGCAGACATCTCTGTTCTTTGTGGCTCTGTCTAGTCTGGTTACCTTGTCCATTGGCTTCTTTTAAAGCCACTCTGTGTAGTTGGCTTTGACCATGCATTCAGGTGACATTCAGAATCAGACAGACTTTCTCTCTGGAATCAGAAACAGTGAAAGATTTTTAAAGAATTCATTATCTCCCAGCCTAGAGTACTATAGAACCAAGCAGAGTAAGACTACTACTTCAGATCCAAGATTCATTATAAGTAAAGCTGATTTGTCTTTTGAGCTCTTGTGTAAAAGGCAAATATCTAGCTGGTGTGCTGTTCTTAAAGTATAGGGCTTCTCTCCTGCTGATTTCACTTTCACTTTGTGTATTTATTTTTTATTTTAGTTATTCACTCTGACTATTCTTTAACTGTCTGCCATGGATCGAATCTCTGTTAAAAAATTTTTTTTTTCAATAGGCAAGAGAGGGTGGTATTAAGAGGGGATGCTGAATGTGAATATCCAAATACATCTGAATAAAAGTTCAATAGCTTTAAACATTCTTGTGTAGCTTTTTGCATTTGCTGTTGTGCTAAAAATATATTCAACTCCTCTTCAAAGATTATAAAAGTAATGCATGTTCACCATACCCAGTGAAAAAATACAAAAATATACTGAGAAAAACAACAGTAATTCTCTTCCTACCAGGCAACCCCTCTGATTCCAAATAAGGTGATCAATTCTTTGTCCACACCACTGTTTATGAAGACTTAATTGTGACAGTGTACTCTGTTAAATGCTAAGTGCCCATAAAAGTTATAAGGATAAGGAAGCCAGTGTTAGAGCCTATTGGGTAACCCTTCACACCTGTCTTCACAGTTATACAAATGCACACCCATATGTAGCATTTTCCTAGTTACTCATGTGTGTGTTTTTAATAAAACAGTCATACTGTTTATGTTAATCTTTCACTTACTTTTCTCACATAACACTGCATCCTGGACATCTCTCCAGGTTAGTAAACTCATGTGTGTGTTTTTAATAAAACAGTCATACTGTTTATGTTAATCTTTCACTTACTTTTTTCACATAACACTGCATCCTGGACATCTCTCCAGGTTAGTAGTTACAGATCCAACTTAGTCTTTTTAATAAAGTGCATAACTTTTTATTATAAGGATATATATGCACACACAGTTACACACACATATACATATATATGCATACCTAGGTAACATCATGACTTACTTATTTAGCTATTTTCCTATTGAGGGATGTTCAGATTGGTGTGATTTTGTTTTATTTTTTGGTTTTATTTTTTTATTTTTGTCCCAATGATAATAGAATAAGCATCCTTATATGGACATCCTTATGGCCTGGTAAATTTTTTTTCTATAGGATAGGTTCCCCCAAATGATATTTTTATGTCAAAGTCTATGCATACATGTTTCTACTTTAGCAGATATTAACAGTTATTTCTATGAAAAGGAAATTGTAGTTATGTTCCTGCCAGCTATGTATAAAATTGTGTATTTCTTCTCTCCTTTACCTGTAATGTCTGTTGCTCCTGTTTTCAGTTTTTGCTGGTCTGGTGAGGGAAAATAAGCTATCACTAAGTTATTGTAATTTTAATTTTCCTGCATATTAATGGTGATGAGCATATCTTTGCATATTTATTGGATAGTCTTCATATATTTACAGGCACTCCCAATTTGGTGAATTGCCTATTTGTATTGGCAATTAGACCAATATTCCTGTGTTGTTGTTATTAATATCAGTTTATATACATTCTCTGTGTATTAGGGATATTAAACTGTTTTTTTCCATTTGTATGCCACAGACACTTTTTTCAGCCTCCCATTTGTCTTTTGACTTTGTTTATGTTGACATCTATTATTAAAATCTTAATCACATTCTTGTGTTTCTTTTGGATGGGAAAAGCTCTTGGGTGGCCACTAGGCATCTTCCACACAAAGCTTAAAAATCTCTTCTTTAATTTTGTTTTAATGTTTCTAATGGATTTTACACACCTACTTTATGCATTTTAATACACCTGAAGGTTTTTTTGAACATGGTGTAAGCTAGAGGTTTATATTTCCTTTTTTCAGATGGATGGTCAGTTATGCCAGCAGCATTTATTAAACAAGCCACCTCCTTCTGAAGTGAGATCCTTCCATCTAATGCCTCAGATTTATTTCTGGACTGTCTTTGTTAATCTGTTTGTCTGTCCCTGGGACAATAGTATACAGTTTCTATTCTAGAGACTTCATAGCAAATTTAACATTTGGTAAGGTAACCGCCACTCTTTTTCATAGTTATCTCGGCTAGTCTGTGACTTGTATTTTATTGTATAACTTTGCAAAGATCATATCAGTTAGTAAAACCCCACATTGTGCTCTTAGTGGTCTTACTGGTGTGTTGAGCTGATCTCCTAGATGGCATTTGCTACTGGTTTTGTTAAAGTTCTCTTCTGACTCTTTTATTTGTACTTTGTTGGTTGCCAACTGTCTTAAATATCCACCTTGGTCTTCCTCCCTTTCTTTCAGGGTTCCCTCAAGTGGGTTTCCTTTTATCTTTTCACACTCTTCGATTTTCTCAGCAGGCGAGACAAGTCTTTAGGGTCACCTACTTTGTGGCAAACCAGCCAAGTGAGAGCTTATAGGCTGAAGATGAATGAGGGGCAGTCTGATTCTTCTTGTTTAGGCACAGAGAGGACCAAGCAGAGCTCCCCACAACTTTGGGACCTGGAGAGCTTTAGCCCAACAAGTCCAGGTGGGTTCCATAAGACAGAGCCTGCTGAGACCTCAGGCAGATGGGCAGGTGCAGTATTTCCTGCCTGTGTTCCTGCAGGAGCCCATCTGTTCCCTGCTTTGCTTCCTTATTTCAAAAAGAGACAAGCCCCCCTCTTCATACTTGGTGCCTGCTTCCTCTTTTGTTTTGTTAGGGAGACTGGCTGCAGTCTTGGGGTTTTCACTTCAAGCTAATACTTTCCACCTTCACTTTTGCTGCTTTTATTTCCTCATACCCATCACTTAAACTCATATCCTTCCTCCACCCATGTCACTGTTTTTCCCACTTAGCCTCGCCCTCTACCTCCCTTTTTCAACTTGTGTCTCTTTTTTTCCATTTTATTCTTCTCCAGTGTATAATCTTTGCTCTTTGCAAATCCAGCTTGGATTTGGAAAAGGCACTTAAACTCATATCCTTCCTCCACCCATGTCACTGTTTTTCCCACTTAGCCTCGCCCTCTCCCTCCCTTTTTCAACTTGTGTCTCTTTTTTTCCATTTTATTCTTCTCCAGTGTATAATCTTTGCTCTTTGCAAATCCAGCTTGGATTTGGAAAAGGTGGCAACCAGAAGGCAGACAGTCTGACTTAAACAAACATATACTGTCAGACTAAAAGACAACATTGGGTCTTGACCTACAGCTCCTCTTGTTACAAAATTAGTGTAATGTCATGGAGTTAAGTAAGCGAGATCCTGGCAGAACACATTACTGCCCTCTCATTTGGAAGGCTGTGGAATAGTGAAGGAGCACTCACGTGACTTGCAATCCCTTCTGCCAGAAGAATCTAGCCCATGAGACCTAAAGGCAAGCATAGCCACGCACAGTTAGAAGCTAGCTGGTGGCAGAGCTTCCACTAGCGTGGCTTTTTCTGAAACACTGCTGGGATCTTCCGTGATGTATCAGGCAGTAGTGCTACGAAGGAGACTGGGCACAGTCTTATCATTTACCTAAAGAAGAGGACAGAGCATATTATGATCAAAGATGCTCTCTGGCTTGGTGGCTTCACCAGACTCAGAGAAATAATAATAATCGTGAAGAATTGAAGTTGACTGAAGACATCCTCTGTGACAGCAGCCCCTCCCCTTCCAGTCCCACAGGCTGGTCAGTCACCAAACTTATGTCAGACAGAACTTAGGTTCTGTGCAGATTCTATCAGACTGGGCAGTAAGGGGCAGGAAAGAGATGCTTACCATTTTAAGGTTTAAAAAATTATCCTGAATAGATTATTTTTCTATGTTAGAAAACAATAATAAAGTACTGATGAATTAAATTTTTTTAAAAAAAGATTCACTGATGGTAACAATAAATTTCATACAATATATCTTGGTTCCCCAAATAAAAATCAAGGGAATATGGACTTCAGGCACTAATATGTAAAGGTGAGATAAAATCACCAAGTAATTGGAAAAATAACTGAATAAGATTAGGAATTATTTTTAAAAAATAGAAAAAATAATGGAGGTAGGGAATTGCTGTTAGTAAAGAACAGAATTGACAATGCAGAAAATTGAGCCAATGACATAGAGAAAAACTTGCGAATTTGTTCTAGAATGTTAAGGAAAGAGCCAAAAAGGAATAAAAACAATGGGGGAAAAGATGGTAGATGTTGAAGACAGACAATGGAAATCAATGTACAGAAAACAAGAGATTCTGAAAATGAAACAAATCAGAAGAGCACAGAAAGATAAAATTGGCCAACATCAAAGATCTGTATCTCAAATGTGTGAATCTGAAAGTCAGAGGTTTTGCTTTTCTGTTTTTTACTTTTGAAAATGATTTTTTAAACAATAAACTTTTTATCATTAATAAACTTTATTTTTAGAGCATTTTTAATTTCACAGAAAAGTTGAGTGGAATAAAAAGAGTTTCCATATACCCCTGCCCCCACACAGGCACAGTCTCCCCCATCATTGACATCCTGCACCAGAGTGGTACATTTGCTGCAATGATGAGCCTACGTTGACACATCATCAACACCCCAAGTCTAGTTTACGTGAAGGTTCACTCCTGGTGATGTATATTCTTTGGGTTCTATCAAATGTATAGTGACATGTAACCACCCTTATAGTATCATAAAGAGTAGTTTCACTGCTCTAAAAATTCTCTCTGCTCCACCTCATCTCTCCCTCTCCTCTTTATCCTGGCAACCACTGATCTTTTTACTGTCTGCAAGGTTTGTCTTTTTCAGAATGTCATATAATGGGAATCATACAATATGTAGCCTTTTCAGATTGGCTTCTTTCACTTAGTAAATATGCATTTAAGTTTCCTGGAAGTCTTTTTATGACTTAAAAGCTCATTCCTTTTTAGCACTGAATAATATTCCATTGTCTGGATGTACCACAGTTTTTTTATCCATTCACCTCCTGAAAGACATCTTGGTTGCTGCTAAGTTTTGGCATTTATGAACAAAGATGCCGTAAACATCCATGTGCAGGTTTTTGTGTGGCCGTAAGTTTTCATTTCTTTTGGGCAAATATCCAGGAGTGCAATTGCTGGATTATATGGTGAGAGTATGTTTAGTTTTGGAAGAAACTGCCAAACTGTCTTCCAAAGTAGCTGTCCTATTTTGCGTTCCCCCCAGCAATGAACGAGAGTTCCTGTTGCCCCACATCTGTGTCTGCATTTGGTGCTGTCAGTGTTTTGGATTTTGGCCATTTGAATAGGTGTGTTGTGGTATCTTGTTTTAATTTGCAATTCCTTAGTGACATAATAATGTTGAACATCCTTTTATATACTTCCTTGCAATCTGTATACATTCCTGATGAAGTATATGTTCTGATCATTTGCCTATTTTTTCTTTTTTTCTTTTTTAAACAAATTTATGTAAAGAACAAGATGCTTGACTCGAAGGGAAAAGTATCTAGGGTTCATTTCTTTATAGTAATTTATCCCTGCTCAGAGATTGCCCTACATGTAACAGCTGTGTGCAAAATAGTAACAAAATTATCCTTAATTTTATAGTAATAAGTGAAAAATATTAAAATTCTTCAATCAAACAAGGTATGCAAGGATTTTTATGTTTTTGTTAAAGCAGTGAGAGCAAAATAGCTTACTGGAATATAAAGATAAGAACTGAAGGAGTATGCTACTAATGGAGAAAGGGGGTATTTTCACAGAAACCGTATTCTTCCCCATTCTGTCTCCATTTGCTGGCAAAACATGCCATTGGCCATTTAGTTTAAACAAAAAAAAGCAGTATGGTTGTGCACATGCACAACTTACTTTATGTACGGTGAAGGAATGGGGAAGGAAAAAATGAAATAACAGAGTGAATTATACTGTAGTAGTCAGATGTGGTGGAACCGAATTGTGGTTTTCTAACTGAGGATGTATTCTCAGTCCATAAGAACAGAGTTGTAGAGTAAAGTAGCAGGTTCCCTTTTTAGTAGACACCTCCTGTTGGCTGCTGGAGCACATCAATTGTATTTTTATTCTCCATTTCCAACTGTGCAGGTGTGTCTGTTTCCCTGATTGGATGCCTGTCAAGTAATATCCCAATTCATTATTATCTTTCTAATATTCTTAATTTACCTATAAAGAATTATATAGTCAGAATTAATTTTAACTGCAGAATTTATTGTAGGGAAATAATCAAGAGATGGATGCAAATCTGTATAAATAGTTGTTTATTCAGGTGTTATAACAATGAGAAATTAGAGACAATATCCAACAACAGAAACACAGTTCATCTGTATAACAAAATATCATGTGACCATTACAAAACATATTTACCTTTGGGTAAATAAGCCACAAAGCAATCTGGTCTCATTTTTTGTAAATCAAGCAATTACACAAAAAACACCTGACTAGTGAGAATAGATACAAAATGAGCAAACCTCAGTGTTTGTAGTGTGTTTTTCTGTCTGGAGGGATTACAGGTGAATTTGGTTGTTTACTTTGTATTTTTCTGAGTGTGGATTAGTTGCTGAATCAGAAAACATGATTTTTAAAATAGACTAAACTCTGATGATTATTAATGAAAGGTTTGTTTCTCTTTTGCTAATGGTTTACATAAATGGAAATCTGATTTATGGTGTCCGCTTTTATTTCTTACTGGCAGTGTGGGTTATTTGGAATCCGTATTGCTAGCTTAATAGCACAGTACTCTCATCATACCTTTAAAGATCCTTTCATCTTACTGAGGGGACATACAGATTTTCATAAGACCATCTGTTGGAGAAGCCCAAATGCTGAGATGTTGAAGATGTTGAAGGTGTATTTGATGCAGGGACTCCCTTCCTTTCTTCTGTCTACCAAGCTATTTTTGTCTTTCAACTCTGTGTTTTTTTCTGACTTGAAATATCTCCCTCTCAACTGCCAGGCTGGTAATGGACGTCTCCTGAAGAAAGCTGTTGCAGGGATGGCAGACAAGGCTGATTTCTAGCAAAACCGCTTTCTCTTGAACCTTTGGTAGACTTGGGAGCCTACAAAGACATTCATTTAAGGGACCCTCTGGTAAAAGGGAGCTGAGGTGGTCTTCAAGCCCATTTTATTCTTTGGGAAATTTACTATCTCTGAGCCTCAGTTTCCTCATTTGTTCATTCGGCAAGTAGTTATTAAGCCCCTACTAAGCTAAGCACTTTGAGACAGCGGACAGACGGATAAGATCCTTAAACTCTTCGTATCAGGTGATCTGAAGTTGGAAATTCGATACTTACCTGAGAGACTTGGATGAGTATTCTGTGTAACTAGACTATTCTCAGTGCATCTTAATTCATTTTTCTCTTTCTTCATTCTCTGAAACTGGAACAAGCATGACATTATCTAATCTGTGATTAGTGCTCTCTAGACAACAGATTTCCTGCTCTAACTCTGTGACTTGGTTCTGTCGCCCTGTGTGCAGAAACTCTTGAGTGATGTCCCCAGCAATTGCCTGCCTGTCACAGATACTGGAAAAGAAACAGATTGTTCCTCACATCCCAGTTTCTTACTGAGAATCAGCTTAACTGGCAGCTGGAGAGACTGAGGCGTCTGGGTTGGTGCAGATTGCTGGAGGTTTCATAAAACAGGCTCTTCCTGAAGTGCGTGGTTGCTTGTTTTCATTCATTCAGCACCTAGGCTGGCTTTCTTATGCTGTTATGTTTACCTCAGTCTGAACATGTAGGCTCTTCTCTCCTCAAATAAGCATCTCTTTGAAGGACCTCCAGACTAGGGCCACTGAACAGGGAAGAACCTTAGAGATTTGTGCAGAGAAGTTCAGAACGGTGACATGCTAAAAAATATAATTAGTGACAGATTCTGCATGCTACTAGAATGTACTTTTATTATACCATGGTACATGGTACATAGTATACATGCTACATGCTACATGGGTGTTTCTGTGGAACTGAAAACTGTTCTCCTCAGAAGATAGAACATTCCAGATTACAGTGCAGCATTAGGTCATTGCCGCTCAATCTCATGGAGAGCTGAATGGCAAAGGATCGTTTCACCATTAGATTTGTGTGTGGTGTTAGATGAGTGCAGTTTGCCAAGTTCCTAGTCAGCGGTCCTTTCCCTGTGCACGTGGCTCATCCAAACTTCCTCCAAATTGGTGCGTTTCCATCTCTTTCCTACGTGCTTATGACCCACCAGTCAGTACTGAGAATGAACAGGCAGTGAACAGGCAGTGAACAGGCAGTGCAGGAGAATGATCAGAGAGGAAGGGGGGCAGAATGAGGAGGACATGTGGAGCTTGCTCCTGAGCGGTGGCACCAGCTGTAGGGCTGTGTGGAAGGAACTGGCACATCACTCCCCCACACCAGCTTTGACTTGAACTCTAGACGTGGCCCACGTGTTGAAATCCCTGGGGAAACTTCTGGCCATGGGTGTTCTTTTCACATTTGCTTATTCTCTGGAGCTATTGCTGGGAAATCTGAAAATGCCCATGGGAAATGTTAGTAATATGTCAAGTATTATTAAAAATGAGATTAAGCAGTATTTAAGGCCCTTCCTCCTGTGATGTCTAGATGCAGGCATTCGCCACTGTCTTGCTTTATGTCTCACCTTGGTTGCATGTTTCACCTTGCACAGGACCAGCTCTCAGCTGACATGTACAGTTTTGTGGCCAAAGAAATCGACTATGCAAACTACTTTCAAACGGTGAGTGTCCAGAAACACGAGACTGCTTCAAGTCTGTTGGCAAGAGCCATGGCGTGGACGACAAGGGAATGTGGGCATGGCTCCGAGGGCCCTTCATGGAGCACGCCGTGCGGAAGGGTGGGCATTGACCATTCTGCCTGTGAATTGGTCCTGCCTTCTATTACTCCTTGTATGGATTTCTTCAAAAACTTAAGAATAAAACTCAACTCTATCCCTGGGGATGAGTGCAACCCAGTCTTCAGTGCTTCTCAGCCAGGAGTGATTTTGCCTCCTTTCCCCAACCCCTAGGCATTTGGCAATATCTGGAGACATTTTTAGTTGTCACAGTTGGGAAGGGAAGTGCTACTGGCATTTAGGGGGTAGAGACCAGGGATGCTTCTAAATATCCTATAATGCACAGGACAGCCCCAAGAATAATGAATTATCCAGCCCATAATGTCAATAGGACTATCATTGAGAAACTGGTCTATAAAAACAAGGAACTTGAGGAGAAAAATAGGAAGATAACCGCCCCAGCCCAAGCATATATTTGTTTTTAATCTAGATTGTTGCCAAAGACAGTGAAAGTAGGTAATCAGGGATCAATGTGTCTGTTTGCCCACCTCTCAACTGTGAAAGCAGATCTGGAGAGTTAGGAACAGGAAGAAACACGATCTGAGTCTCTAAACTTAAATAATCTGGTCCAGATAATTAGGACCCTGACTATTTACCAGGATAAATATAAGGCAAGTCAAAACAAACAAACAAACGAAAGACCTTGATAGAGAAAAAAAATACAGATTAAAAAAAAACAGTTAAGTTCACCTGCTTTTGAAGTTGGGAATAAAACACTAAGACCTAAAAGCTCTTCTTTATAATCAGGGAAGTGACAGAGTGATAAGGAAGGAGGAAGAAGGGAAGACAAAAGTGGAAATCAAAGGGTTTAGATGCTTTGGTTAAGTTTGGTCGACAGCTGTGGGCTTTTAGCAGTTTCTAACATTTATTTTCATTAGTGGTCCAGAATGCAGAGACGTCCCTTCTACCCGGAAAACAGTTGATATGCATTACTTCTAATTTGGAAAGTTTATTTGAAAATAGCAGTATTTTTTCAAGTATTTTCCATTGGTTTTATTTGTGCAGGTAATATTTAGAGTTTCTAAAACTAATGAACTCATGGACATTCCAAGCCTTATTAGACTGCTTAATTGTCATTTGTGTACGTTTTCTTTTTTCTTTTTTTTTTTTTTTTAAAGATCACCGGTATGGGGATCTTAGCCCTTGATTTGGTGTGCCTTATTAGACTGCTTAATTGTCATTTGTGTACGTTTTCTTTTTTCTTTTTTTTTTTTTTTAAAGATGACCGGTATGGGGATCTTAGCCCTTGATTTGGTGGTGTCAGCACCACGCTCTCCAAGTGAGCTAACCAGCCATCCCTGTATAGGGATCCGAACCCGTGGCCTTGGTGTTATCAGCCCCGCACTCTCCCAAGTGAACCGTGGGCTGGCCCTCAATATTCTTTTTTTCTTACTGGTAAGGGGATCCCAACCCCTGGCACTGTGTGGTCTGCACCATGCTCAGCCAGTGACACACCTGCCATCCCTATAGAGGGATCCGAACCTGCGGCCTCAGCGTTCCCTGCACCGCACTCTCCCGAGTAAGCCACAGGGCCGGCCTAATATTCTAATTTTTAAAAGAAACTTTATATTAGTTTTACTTTAGTATTACTTGGGGGCAATAGTGTCCACCCTGCACACCAAGAATTAAAACAGATTGATTCCCTCCCCTCCATTCATACATGCCCGATTTTGGGGAGAGAAGTGGAAGGTTCAGGAAACAAATGAAGTAAACATTGTTCATGGGTTTTCATCTGCTGTTATCAATATTTCAGCCACTTTTAATTACTGGGATGGTCAGAACAACACTCTGAAGGAATTCGTTCTTTGGGCTGCATCACTGTAGCCAAAGCAATTTCACCTCCCAGGTGAAATCCAAGAGGATTGTGATCAAGCCACACATTTTTTGCTCAGTTCTGTGTTAAACCAACTTTGCAGAAACCAAGATGTATACAGGTTGATGACATTTCACCTGCGTATATTTGTAGGCAAATGAATTTCTAAATGTGTTTTCCATTTGTATCCTCCTACTTTTGCACCTCTCTCTGTAGCCTTGTGCTTTGAGGGTGGGGTGCCAGGTAAGGCGGTGGTGGTGAAGGTGGGCTCTCTGAGCCAGGCACCAGCTCTGGGGAGATCCCCCTATTCCTTCGTGGTTCTCCTGCTTCCCAGGTTTCCAACTGTGGTGGCTCCTTTGCTGCAGAGGCTAAAGGGGAAGTGTACCTGTCATTTTAGGTAGATTGGGGGAGGGAACAGGGGACTCCCCGCCTTCCCCTGTGTAGAGACAGAATATTCTACGTGCCCCAGCTGCCTGTGTTCCCTGCCCGCTCCGGCAAAGGGTGACGCTTGTCCTTGTGTTTTCTCAGCTGATAGAAGTGCAAGCTGAATACCACAGGAAGTCCCTGACACTACTGCAGGCTGTGTTGCCTCAGATAAAAGCACAACAGGGTAAGTGCAAGCCTTCTGTGGAGGGGGAGCCAGGGGACTAGCTTGCTTTCCTGGATGAGACCAGCTCTCTATTTTGTTCACCGTCTGCATTTTGCCCTAACAGGGTCATGTTCAGATGAGCCACTGGAACTTCACAAGCTAGTGCCTCCATCCAGTAACAGTGCAGCAAAGCCCACTCACATACACACACTTTCCCTCAACGGGGATGAGTCAGGGCTGTGTGTAGGGATGCCTGTGTAGCATTAACCCCAGCAGCACAGGACCCAGCTGGCTAGCCATCCTCCTGGTCATCCCCCAAACCACCAGAATGGAGACTCAACTGGGCGTCCGTTTCTTTGGTAGTCTTAGGAGAATCTGGATGACAAGAGGAAAGAAAGATTCCAGCCTGGGTGACCTTCGCGACCTGCTGACTGCCTGCTTTCTTGCTCCCCCCTCAGAGGCCTGGGTGGAGAAGCCTTCCTTCGGGAAGCCCTTGGAGGAGCACCTCACCATCAGTGGCCGGGAGATCGCCTTCCCCATCGAGGCGTGCGTGACGATGCTGCTGGAATGTGGGATGCAGGAGGAGGTGGGTCTGAGCCACCCCAAACCAGGCCCCAAGCAGGTCTCCCCTTCCTGATACAGAGCCTGCCTGCAGGACCTTCTCTCCTGTATCGCCCCCACGTGGCCCCCATGCAGCCAAACTTGTTAAGACACCGCTGCGTGACGATGCTGCTGGAATGTGGGATGCAGGAGGAGGTGGGTCTGAGCCACCCCAAACCCAGCCCCAAGCAGGTCTCCCCTTCCTGATACAGAGCCTGCCTGCAGGACCTTCTCTCCTGTATCGCCCCCACGTGGCCCCCATGCAGCCAAACGTGTTAAGACACCGTGCAGCCCCGTCTCCTGCAGAACACGAACCGGTCCTGCCTTTTCCCATGAGCCTCTGCTTTTCCAGGGTGCATGGAGGATTGTGGGAGCCCAATGTCGTCTGGCCATGAGGAATTCATGGCCACATTCCAGCCAGTCTTTTCTCGTATTTAACACGATTCGATGATTTGGGCATTCTGCTGCTGCTGCTAGGACTCCTTCCTCCTCTTCCTCTTTCTCCTCCTCCTTTTGCTTAGTAAGTTTCTTAAATTTCAAAATACAGCTCTTAAACTTTTTGATCACAGCTCTTTTGTAGAGATCCTCAAACTATGATTGACAGAGACATCACAAAGCACTTTTTAAAGGCTGCCTGTAAAAAAAAGGTCTATGAGAAATTGGTGGCGACTGTTGTTTTTACTGCTGTGTAAATCATTTCCTGGGAGGTAGATCTCTTCTTTGGTTTCCTCCATAGGCTATTTTAACATCTTTATCTTCTTTGATCTGATCAGCGAATCAATATTTATTTAGGGCTTGCTATTTATTACTGAGCAAAGTACAAAAGAATGACGTAGGGGGCTTATAAACTTACAGGGGGAGAAGAGTCGAGCATCTGTCCGATAGGCTTGATTAATCCAAAGCAGCCTGCAAGTCTCTGAGGACTGGTTTACACGGGGAAGAGAAGGAAGCTGATGAACATTCAAATGGATGTCAGCCACTTACTCCGTGCCAGTTCTCTTCCAGATGCTGGATATTCAAAAGAGAATGGGAATAAATGTGGTTTTTGACCACATTTTGTGTGCCAGGCATTTTCACGTTTATTATTAATGAAAAAAAATGAGAAGGTCTCTACAGTTCCTAAGAGAGAGTTTCATGGAGGAAGGAGAACCCGGCCATTTCTTTCTCCATCATTTTTCTTAAATTGTGAAAAAACTTAAACACACAAAGATAAGATAAGATAAGCCTCATCACGCAGCTTACAGCCAATCTTCTTTCATCCCTACCTCCATTTCCTGCCCTCTAATCCCTGCCTTGGGTATTTTTGAAGCAAGTCCCAGACGTTATATCATTTCATGTATAGTCCTGCAGTATGTGTTCCTAAAAGATAAGGAATGTCTTAAAATATAACTAATGATATTATGACATATAAAAAGGAACAATGATTAATGAATATCCCATCAGTGTAAAGTGGTTCTGGAAGAACGGGCTCTCCAGCATCTCATCTTGCCTCCCGACTCTCGTCTCTGCCCTTTCCGGGCCATTCCGCCTCTCCCAGCCTCACTCTCTCACTGGCATTTTCCCTACTTTCTGCCAGCTCTTTTTCTTTACTAACAAATATGCTCGAATTCCCCCTAACCTAGAAAAAAAAAATCTTTCAACTCCATTACAGCCTCATGTCCTGCCCTAGCTCGAGGTTTTGTCATTCTATCCAGTTTCTTAAAACAACACCTGCCACTCCTGCGTCCCCACCTCCACCTACTGATCTTCTTCCTGTGGTGTCGCTTCTGTGCCCACCACTGGGCTATACTGCCCTCTGATCCCCAGGGGACCTCAGGTTGCCACATCCCATGTCTTAGGCCCAGCCTCGTTGGCCGTGTTGCTACCTGAGGTTGCTAATGTAAGTGTCCTTGAAGCTAGCGGCTCCCTCGGGCCCTGGTTCCCTCTTGCCTGTGACCGCAGCCATCAGGATGCTCTGCCCAGTGTCTCCACCCCGGCTCTACCTCCTGCAGGTTCCCCTCAGCCTCAGTGAGGATCCAGTCGTGGGAGGCTGCACTACCATGTTTGTGGCCATTCCTCACCTTTTCCTTGCAAATGTTCCTCTAACACCCGTAAAACTGGACTCAGTAGCCATCTTAACAGGCCCTTCTCCTCCTGGTTTTTATGCTTCCCTTAGTGGAACGGTCTCAGTTACACAGTCAAAAATCTAAAGGCTTATCTTTGACAGCCCTGTTTTCTTCTCTTTGGCATTATCGATCCCCAAATACTGTTGGCTCTTCTTGCACGGCTGTGGCATGGTCTATGAAGGTCTGCGCCACTCCATTAACACGTTCCATAGCTTACTGTCTTTGTCCGGCGGCCTTACCGTGACACTCATCCAAACATGTTTATGTCACTTCCTCACACACTCGTGTGTGCCCAAGCACTTTGCACATCTATTTATCTGACATGCACTATATTGAGAAGGGAATTAGCAATCCTAGCAGACCAGAAACTCAGTATTTCACACCAGGAACATTTTCTTCTAAAGGAACTTGGAAGTCTGAATGGCCATGAACGATTAAAGGAGCAAGGAATGTTACACCAGCTTGTTACATCCCAGAATGCAAGGAGCTAAGAAGCTAACACAAAAGATGACAGATCTTTAACCCATGTCTGACTTGTCTGTGACTTGGAGGCTCCTTTCCAGCTCTGACCTGCGTGCGTCTTCTCTTCCATGCACCCGCTCCCCTCTTCTCTTTCTCTCTGTAGCTTACTTTTGCTCTACGAGGTGCAGTGGTTTAGCTGGAAGAGGTGGCCATGACTCGAAAGTAACACTTAAGAACGGAACGTGGGGGAACCGAAACAGGCTTCCTCACAAACCTCCCCAGTTTGCCCTTTCTGAGGACACACACCTTATTTGATTCTAAAAGTACAGCCCTGGTGCCTCCCTACACACACACACACACACACACACACACACACACACACCTCCGCACACGCACATCCCCCCACCCCCACGCCTGTAGACCTTTTCGGTCAACTTACTAGACCCACATGTCTGACCAGGGGTCAGTCAGATTTTTCTCCAAGACTTATCTTAAGTATATGTATTAGTCCATTTCTGCTGCTTATAACAAAATACATGGAACTGGGTGATTTATAAAGAAAATGAAATTTATTGCTTACAGTTTCTGAGGCTGGGAAGTCCAAAGTCCATCTGGTGGTGGCGACAGTGACCCAGGAGTCTCCATCGCAAGATGGTGGAAGCAGAGAGAGCAGAGGAAGGCAGACTCTCCCTTTCTTTTACAGCCCTCAGAACCACGCCCCATGACCACAATTTCTAATCCATTCACTACTGCATGGTCCTACAATCCAATCACCTCTTCAAGGCTCCACCTTTCAATCACCATAATAGGATTTCCCACCCTCTTAACAGTCGCAGTGGGGGCTAAGTTTCTACTACATGAAACTTGGGGGACACAATTCAAGCTTCAGTGAGTTTTGGGGGGACATAATTCAGTCCACTACAGTATATGAGCAGAAGAAGTCTGAGTGCCCAAGGTTCATTTATCCAGCAAATACTTATTGAACTAGAAAGATGAAGCACCCCTGCTCCAGGCCTTGGGGACACAACAGGGGGTAAGACCCAGTTCCTGCTCTCAAGTTGCTTATGTCTGAAGGAGGACACATTTAGAAAACAGGCAGCTACGATATTAGAAAATGGTGTTGAGCAGAACGCATCTAAGAGCTTTTCGAGGAAAGAAGTGTGTAGATTTTTCCGTCTGTCTGTTTTGCTCTTGTACCTCTGAGTTGCAGGACTGTCTGCTGACCCTCTGTCCTGTTGGTAGGGGCTCTTCCGAGTGGCTCCCTCTGCCTCCAAGCTGAAGAAGCTGAAAGCGGCACTGGACTGCTGCGTGGTGGACGTGCAGGAGTACTCGGCAGACCCCCACGCCATTGCAGGTGGGCGCCCACCGCCTCTTAGCAAGGCGCTTCTATGTGCTGTAGGTGCTCACCGGGAAGGGGTGAGCGTGGACGGTGTGTGGCTACATGTCAGGGACACTTGAGCCAGCAGCTTCCTGACATGTTTCAGATGTATCCACTCAGCGCTCAGTTGCAGGCCTGGTTGCTGAGACCCCTTGTAGGAAGTCTCCCCAGTGTGCCAAAAGGAGATGAGGTGAGGGTGGGAAATGAGGGTCAGTAGGATTATCAGCCTGGGTCCCCTGCCAGAGCCCCAGATTCATTCATGTGGGAAGCCACTGTTTGCTCTTGTCATGTTGGCAGGGAGCCCGCCCCCAGGGGAGCCCATGCGGGTAGTGCAGGCTGGTAGAACTTGCTGCCATGTCTTAGTGCTCACAGCCAATGTTGTGTTTATGCCCAGGAGCTTTGAAATCTTACCTCCGAGAGTTGCCGGAACCTCTGATGACCTTTGAACTCTATGATGAGTGGATCCAGGCTTCTAAGTGAGTATACCTCGTTTTGTAGCGCTTGTGAGTAGGAGTTTATTTGGAAGTATATATTGAGATTATGAAAGCAGGTAACCTATGATCTAGCAACTCCATTTCTTCATATCTTTCATGAAGGAATGCTTGGACATGTGCCCAGAGAGGCTTGTGTTCGTAGGGGCTCTTCTGAGTGGCTTGTGGATTGCAGCAGCATTTGGGATACCAGAAGCCCAGAAGTTACTAAGGTTCTTAGGGGAAGGGGGAGTGGGGAGTAGCTAAATACACGGTGGTATGTCTGCAGCGTGGCATGCTCTGGAGCAATAACAGAATGGGTAGAGCTAGCCATGCCCGTCTGAAAACATGGAGACCTGTTGATGAGCAAAATAAAGCAAGTTAACAAGGACACATACGTTGTTCTGTTGTAAAAAGAAAAATAAACACCCAGCTCACTCATGCCTCCATGTGTGTGTGAATGCATGAAGAGGTTCTGGAAGGGCTTCCTCTGCTGATGGCAGTGGTTCCTTCTGCAGAGAAGAGCAGGACGAGGGGGCGGCCACAGGCTCTTTACCCTTATCTGTAATAGTTAGAAATATTATGACAACAATTAATGAATAACTAACGTAGAAGCATAACATGTGAGCGGTGGATACTCCCCCTCCTGACAATGAGCCCAGGGGAGAGGCCACTATGGGAGCAAGGCTGGGACTCCAGCCAAGTGTGGGGAAGACGGAGAACAGAGCGGCGGCGGCTGGTGCGGAGCGGGCCAGGCTGCCGCACGCCATGGACTGTGACTCCTAAGTGCGGTTTTCCTTTTTGATTCCTGCCTTCTTTCCTCTGTTTAGACGTGCATTAGGATGGTATGGTACAGGTTACGTATCTTCTATACGAAATGCTTGAGACCAGAAGTGTTTCCGATTTAGGGTTTTTTTGGGTTTGGGAATATTTGCTGATACTTACCAGCTGAGCATCCCTAATCTAAAAATCTGAAACCTGAGACGCTCAGTGAGCATTCACTTTGAGTGTCATGTTGATACTCAAAAAGTTTCAGATCTTGGAGCATTTCGGATATCAGATTTTTGGATTTTTTAATTAGGGAGGCTCAACCAGTACTATATGTTCTCTCCAGCTGTAGGTGAGAGCTGTCTTAAGTAAATGCTGTTGTTTGGAGGAATCTGTTTTTACAGAGTAAGTGGACTTGTCTGGTGAGGACCCAGACAGCACCGGGCAGGAGAAGGGGCACCAGAGCGAGGGAGGTGGACGTGAGGAAGGGATGGGCCAGGTGGAAGAGGTGAAGGAGAGAAAAGAATGTTCCAGGCAAGCAGGACTGGAGCAAATAGCCACCTCAGCCAGGCGCCTGTGAAAGGACGTGATTTGTAGGGATCTGCAGTCATGGGATCTCGTAAACAGCAGCCGGCGTAGGCTTCGGGAACAACACTGGAGTGTAATCTGATGCTGATCCTTCCACCTCTGAGGAACTGGGGCCCGAAGGAGACCCAGCTGATCTGGCAGCCAAGCCAGGCCGGAATGTGTCGTCCAAGGAAGCTAGGGCCCATCAAGTTGCAGAACATTAATTTTGTTTCCAAAGTAGAAGAGAGATTTTTAATTTTAAAAGGCTGGCTGAATGTATGGTACTTTTATATCTCATTGTGAAGAGTGAGTGTTGGGTTCCATGAGGACATTAGTCATTGTTAAGTGCATTTATTGAGTGCTTATTGGAGGGTTGGCATTATTCTAAGCTCATTATATGTTTTTAACTCATTTAATTTTCACAACAACCCTGTAAGGTGGGTTGTGCTATTTCCCTCATTTTACAGAGGAGGGATTGGAAGTATAGAACAGGATGGTAACAGCAGGTCACCTGCCAGCTGATAAGTGGCAGAATGTGAATTTGAATCCAAGGAGTCTCGCTCCAGAGCCCATGTGCTTAACCATGGTACTTAATGTGTCTCTAGAACAAGAGTGTGGCCCTAAAGATGGAGTCAAGTAGGAATATATCCTTTGATGGAAACTGTCCCTCTTATTTACTGAATATAAAAGTGATCTTGATGACCTAAAGCTAGAGAAAGAGAGGGTAGCTCCGTGCTTTAGGACCTATCTGAGAGACCCTCTGGTTCACACTTCATTTGCAAAGTTGGGTCTCCATTAGGCAGCAGGAATGATCTGGATGTCTCAAGAAGTCAGTGTCTTTGAATGAAGGAAAAACAAGAACTTATGTCAGCCACAGGAGGATATGGATATAGTGCATAAAGACCCTTACGAATGATGGTGCCTGCCATTAAGGTCACATCATCTAAAGAAAGTAATTTTCCCTAGGTCTGTGGTTTCCATCCCTCTGCATGCAGCAGAGTCTTGGGGAAGCTTTTAAAAGATACCAATACCTGAACCTTTCAGAGATTTTGGGGCTGAATTGGTCTGGTTCTTTGTTTCAAAGCTCCCAAGGCTACTGAGTTGATAGCCATTAATCTTTGATGAAGCTGAGTTTCACCAGAAGGCAGCACTCATCTTAGCAGGGGATTGGACTTCAATCTGCCAAGGGATGGGATATCCAGGAGACAGAGGTTGGAGCCAGGGAAGCAACAAGGGCTAAAGTTAGGGATTGCTACTACAGTGCAAGGTGGCCTGAAACTTGAAGGACACATCTTCACAAGCCACGTCAATTAAGTATTTCCGTGCTAGAGTCATGTAGAAGTGAGTCTCAGAATAGCCCCGAGGCCTAGAGATGCCTCAAAGAGGATACAAGAAGTGAGCCTCTGATACTAGGAAACCCTTCTCTGGATGGAAGTACTGAGGCCTTCTCACTGGCTATTCCCTCTGACACAACTGTTCCTCAAGACCTCTGCCCCATCAGCTCCTTCTGATTCTTTGGGCCTCACCTTGAATGTAATCAGCTCGAGAGGCCTTCTCTGACAACCTGATTTAATTCAGCAAGCAGTCATGATCTGTCCCATCCCCTGTGTTAGTCCTCTGCATAAAACCGATCGCCTTCCTTCATGGACTTATTTGCAGAGTTGATGACACTGTGAGCTCCTCTGACTGCTCACACTTCCCAGCCCTTAGGACCATGCCAGACACACAGTGGGGAACTCAGTATATGTTCGCTGATTTTTATTGACTGAAAGGTCTTGGTAACATCTGCCCTTTCACCTTAGAAAGGGTTGAAGGCAGAAAAAGAGGTGGGGTTTGGTGCCATAGGAGAAGCCTCAGCAGACAGTGGAGGTGAGACCAGGGACAGGAACAGCGGCTGCAGAGGCCGACATTTAACATCAGTTGGGAGCTTTTCATCAACCAGACACTCTGCTGAGCACTCTGTACAGATTCTCCTTTAAACTGCTCACACCACTGCTTTGAGAGAAATACTGTTATTAACCCCATTGTACAAATGAGGCAAGTGAGGTTTACGGACGTTAAATAATTGGCACAAGATCACGGTCAGGGTGGAGCTGGGTCTTCATGGCCTCCCTACACAAAACCTGCTCTGGCCAGCCTTTAGTCAGATTATGCCTACTTAACAAAGATATGGTCTGTCACCTTCCTGTTTCTAAATGGAACATTCGGTTTTCACTCTAGTTACCTAGCTAAAGTTCCTTTTGGAGAACGCATGCCTCTTTCTCAAGGTTGAATCGAAGGGAAAGAAGGTTTTTCTCATCTCTCTCAGGATCTATAGGACAACCTGAGGGTACCTAGAAATAAGGGCTGCTGTGACAGCCCCCACCCTTCTGGGGGCCCCATGTCAAAGGGTCAGAGCTGGGGCCTCACCCTGCTAGTGTGTAACTTTCGTTTTTCTGGAAAAAAAGTTCTCTGAGCATAAGGCCTTCTTAACCATGTAGGGCTTAATGTAGATTTATATAAAAAGGTACTTTAAGTAATTTTTTTTTAATTTTAAGAGGGCTTGTAAATAAGGAAACCCTTAGAGCAAATCTTTTTGTAGAGTGGTGGATCCTTTGGTTAGTGGAAATTATTCATTCCTTGACTTATGTATTGAAGGGTCAGATTTCCTTATGTCTCTAGTGAGTTTGTGTAATTGCATATTCAAAAGATATTTATTGAGTATCTATTTTGTGCCAGATGCCAGGGAACTTAATATGCCATAACAATATCCATTGAACTGGGCAGGAGGCTGCCATCATGGCGCGACAGCAGGGGTGAACTCCCTGACTGATGTCCTGTGTCGTCCTGACAACACCATAGTCCTGTCACTCCAGGGAAGGTCTCTGGCCTCTGCCCTCCTGCCCTCATCTGCGACCCTGGGACATATGATGTGTGCAGAGGAAGTTTGTTAAAATAGCCTCGGACAAGACAGTAGGAGAAAATAGAGGGAGAAATAATAATAACCCCCAATTTTTAGTAATAATAGCTTGATGATATGGTAAATTAGAATGGTTGGTTCCTTATCATCAAATATTGATGACTAGGTAGTGATTGCCAATGAGACTTCATTGATTCATGCTCAACCAATGGCTTTTCCTATCAATTCCCAGCATCCAGGAGCAAGACAAGAGGCTTCAGGCTCTGTGGAATGCTTGTGAAAAGTTGCCCAAAGCCAACCACAACAACATCCGGTAAGTGCATATTGCAGAAATGTGGATCCAGCTTGTGGAAGCCCCAGACGCACAGTTTCCCAGCTAAAAGTCATGGTAACTAGCGTGCATGGCATTTTCTGGTGTCCACGTGTATTGTTAACACACATGGTCTCTCTTAAACCTCAAACAGCCCTGTGAGATAAGGCAGGCATAATTATTACCCTTTTACAGTTAAGGAAACGGGACTTGAAGAAGCTGTAGCACCTAACTACTCGTTGGCTGATTCAGTTAAGTTCTTTGATTTACAGGGAGCGAGGATTCGTGCAAGCTCTCTTAGGATATTGGGGATTTGTGGTCAAGATAGGTGTTCAGGGACACCTGGGAGAAGCTGGCAGAGGCAGAAGTGTCCTTGAGCCAGTCCACAGGAGGAAGAGGCGAGAGAGAGTCTTCTCCAGTGCTGCTCCATCCGAGAGCCCCAGACACTTTTCTTGCTGTCTTGCTTTCTTCCCTCCTGTCTCTCACTTTTCTTGCTGCCACCTGGGATTTTACTTCCTGCCGCTCTGCAGATCTCTCCCCACCCCGGCTCCCTCTCCTTCACACTTTCTGCTTCCTCATCGCTTGGTCTTGCCAGCACCCACCTGGTCCTGCCATCCTTCCTCCGTGCTTCTTAGGATGCAGATTTTCAGCGCCAGCTCCTGCTGCCATCTGCCTGATTATTTCTGTTTTCCTGTTAAAAAATCCCAAGAGCGACAGTATGGTGGTGCCTCAAAAAATTAAACATAGAATTACCATTTGATCCAGCAATTCCACTTCTGAGTGTATACCCCAAAGAATTGAAAGCAGCGACTTGGTATTTGGACACCCGTGTTTACAGCAGCAGCATTCACAGTAGCCAAAAGGTGGAAACCCAAATGTCCACCAGTGGATAAACTGATTTTTAAAAAATGTGGGATATTCATACAATGGAGTAGGAAATTCTGATTCTTGCTACAACGTGTATGACCCTTGAGGACAGTTTGCTAAGAGAAATAAGCCAGACGCAAAAGGACAGATACTGTGTGACTCCACTTATATGCGGTACCTGGAGTCGTGAAATTCATGGAGGCAGGAGAATGGTGGTTGGGGAGGGAGAAATGAGAGTTGTTTTATGGTGGCACCGTTTCATTTGGAAAGATGAGAAAGTTCTGGAGATGGTGGTGGTGGTTGCATCACAGTCTGAGTGTATTTAATGCCCCTGAAGTATACACCTGCAAGTGGGTAAAATGGTAAATTTTATATATATGAGGGTCCTTCAGAAAGTTCACGGAAAAATAAAATTAAGAGATAATACAAATCTTTTACGAGGCTTTTGAAGTGCCCTTGTATTTTACCACAATTTAAAAAAAAAATCAGGCTGGCTAGGTAGCTGAGTTGGTTAGAGTGTGGTGTTGTAACACCAAGGTCAAGGGTTCAGATCCCCGTACCAGCCAGCCTCCCAAAAAACCCAAAAACAAAATCCCAAGAGCAAGGATTGGATCGCACAGCTCATCCCATGGTGAGGACCACAGCCCTAGGTCACTGGCCCGCTGAGGACTGACTGCTCTCAGCTCAGCTCCCACATCCTGCTCCAACCACCTGTGGCCTCTTGGAGGGTGAGTTATGGTTGGGGAAGACTGTGGGTGGAGTTGGCACCGTGACAGCTTAGTGACTACAGGATAGGACCCTGAATCTGCTGGACTGACAGAAGGTGAGTAAGAACCCCTGAGGGGGTCACTCTGCTGTGATCCAAGCAGCATGGGGTTAGGACCGCAGCCTTTTGCAGCTGAAAGTCCAGGAGAAAACAAGTGCCCCTGGGGCTGCGGGCTTTTTGTCAGGGCCTGGCAGGTTTTTAGGGTGGTTTGCCAGAGCTAATTTTTTTGCTTGATTTGTGCATAGCTTCTTCACTGGCTCTTTTTTTTTTAATGATAATTTTATTGAGCTATAATTCACATACCATCGTACCTTTTTAGAGTGTGCAATTTAATGTTTTTAGTCTATTTGTAGAGTTGTGCGACTACCACTGTTATCTAATTTCAGAACATTTTCATCCTGCCAAAAGGAAACCCTGTTCACATTAGCAGTCGCTCCTCATTTCCCTCAACCCTGCCCCTGGCAACCGCTACTTTTTGGCTCTATAGATTTGCCTGTTCTGGACATTTCATGTAAGTGGAATAATACAATAAGTGGCCTTTTGTGCCTGGCGTTTTTCACTTAGTGTAATGTTTTCTAGGTTCATCCATGTAGAGGATGTGTGAGGACTTCATTCCTTTTTGTGGCTGAATAATATTCCATTGTATGGATGGACCACATGTTATTTACTCGCTCATCCCTTGTTGGGATATTTGGGTGGATTCCACTTTTTGGCTGTTACGAATAGTGCTGCTGTGCACATTCATGTACAAGTTTGTGTGTGGACATATTTCTCTTGGGTATATCCCTAACAATGGAATTGCTGGATCATATGCTAAGTCTACATTTGACTTCTTTATTGAATCTCTCCAGAAAGCCCAACTGAGGGTAATTCCAGGGGACACCACCCCTAGCATATAGATGTTCCTCCTGGTGATACGCGAGCACTTTGTTATCTCCTCTGCACACAGGGAGGATGGCAGGTGACAGAAGTTTGAAAAGAAGGAGGAACTTTAGGTTATTATATACTGAGTCAAAAGGAACAATGGAGAACTTTTCTGGCCAGTGTTAGTCGAAGTTCACTGAGTGAGATCTGAGTCTGTCTGCTTTTGAAAAGAGTACAGAATTCCCATTTCCTGATGTGTGACGCATCTTCATCAAGTTGCAGGTTATATGAGTCTCGTTGTCAGTAAGATGTGTTGCGTGAGAGAAGCTTCTACCCAGTCCTAGGGGAACGTGGTGTTAAATGCTGGCTAAACCTGGGTCCTTCTAATTTCCTTTCAGATACTTGATCAAATTTCTATCCAAGCTGTCAGAATATCAAGATGTAAACAAGATGACTCCCAGTAACATGGCCATTGTTTTAGGGCCCAACCTGCTGTGGCCGCAAGCGGAAGGGTGAGTACAGGGAGGAGAGGCACAGAGCCATGCGGACGGGGCTGCAGGGCAGGGCCGGCGGGGCCCTGCTGATCACCAGCCTCACTTATTTCCCAAGTCCTAGTCCTGTTGTGGCCTGCTCCCTCCATAGGCTGAGGAGGAGGCCCAGAGTTCTGCAGATCTTTCTCATCAATAATAGTCGCAGAGCTGCAGGTCTCAAGCAAGGGTCTTCTCTGAGCTAATCTAAGAGTCAGGGTGAGAGGAAGGAGGACAAGGGGTGTGATGGCACCAGACAAGGCAAGCTCTTTCACTGTCTCGTAAGAAGACACCCCCAGGGGCAGGACTCAGAGGGGTGGAAGGCTGTCTCCAAAGGGAGCCGAGCTTGGAAGAGGAAGAGCCCAGCAGTGATGAGAATCACACTGCACCTTGAAAGTGCCTTCGTGGGTTGTATCAGTCCACTTATGTTGCTTATAACAAAATATGTGGAGCTGGGTGATTTATAAAGAAAATGACATTTATTGCTTACAGTTTCTGAGGCTGAGAAGTCCAAAGTCCATCTGGTGGCAGTGACAGTGACCCAGGGGTGTCACATTGCAAATGGTGGAAGCAGAGAGAGAGAAAGACAGACTCTCCTCTTCTTTTAAAGCCCTCAGAACCACACCCCTGACCACCATTTTTAACCCATTCACTACTGCACGGTCCTACAACCCAATCACCTCTTCAAAGCCCCACCTTGCAATTACCATAATAGGATTTCCCACCCTGTTAACAGTTACAGTGGGGGCTAAGTTTTTAATACATAAAACTTGGGGGACACAATTCAAACTTCAATGAGTTTTGGGGAGACAGTTCAGTCCACTACATGGGTATTGCTCATTTACACGTCTCCTGTAAGGAGGGCTCCTGGCCTTGTCCCCACCTGTAGATGGGTAAAGAGAAGCTCAGAAAGATGAAGTGTCCTTCCCAAGAGAAAGCGTGCTCTCAAGCTTCGGTCTGCAGGGTTCCAATCCAGGGCCCCTTCTGGGGCTCTGTGGCCAGAGAACTGTGGGCCTCTCACCCTGCTCTCCTCTGCTGTGTGCTTGCAGGAACATCACTGAGATGATGACCACAGTTTCGCTGCAGATTGTTGGGATCATTGAACCTATCATCCAGCATGCAGACTGGTTCTTCCCTGGGGGTACGTGGCCGCATCTAGGTCTGGGGGCAAGAGGCAGGGAGCAGAAATATTGCTGCTGAGTTATGAGCCTTTGAAACCAAGTACCGCTGCTCACAGTTTCTTGTTTCTTTTGTTTATAACCCTCCCCCACATGCACACACACACACACACACACACACAAATGCACCCAGGTATTGGGGTGGAGTCATGGCAGCTTCCTACACTGTAATCACTGTCTGTGGGATGTTCACTTCACCTGTCCAGGTGTCCACTGCTCTAACCATGTCCATGGATTCTACTAGTCTAATCTCCAAACCATGGTTTCTTCAAATCTGTGAGTCACCCAACTTTGGTACAGGAAGGAAAGAGCGAGCCTCTACTCCAAGCCCTTTGCTTTATAGATGTAGAGGGAGGGCGTGACCTGATATGAGTGGGGACTGTTACCCAGGGCTCTCGGGTCACCTGGGTGCCATCCTTTTACTACCTTAAGCTGTGCCCTTTGAGTTGCCCCTCAGTGTGTAAAGGTGGAGCTCACAGGCAATCAGATTCTTTTTTGTGCCTAGTTCAAAATCGGGCTCTCAAGGCAGCTTCCTTAGAGGGAGTTTCCGAGATGTTCAGAGCCATGGAAGCATCATTGCATAATATATGACTCTTCCTGGTGACAGTTTTGAAGAGGCAGGTGTGGTTGCACCAAATTTGGTGTTTGCTTTGAAAAAAAATCGGCGCTGTACCTTATGGCTAGCAAACGTTAGGGTGTGCTGTCAGCTGTGAGACAGCAGCCATTAACTCGTAAGGATAAAATGTTAATAATTCTGTGCTCTGTCCATCAGAGAGAATCAGTTAATGCTGATCTAACAAGGAAGTAGTTTGATTATCATTCTTTCGCTTCATGTGTTTTGGCTGTGAAAGCCCTACACTTCTGATCTCCTAAGAGTTCTATTAATCATACAAGGTTGGGTCAGGGTAGGAAATCAAGATAAAGAAATAAAGCATATAGGGGTTGAAGGCAGTAATTCTGTAGGTTCCGTGGATTTGCTAATTTATTACCATTGCACACAGAATTGTGCAGGGCTACGTCATTGCTATTGATTAGGAAAGGATGGGATGAGTACTTCTCTGATTCTACTTGATAGCCAACAACCTTAATGAAATCTCTTACTATTTCTAGCCTTTTTAAATTTATTCTCCTTGGTTTTCCAGAAAGACAATACAATCATCCACAAATATTAATATTGCCTCTTATTTTATTTTCTTGACTGATTCCATTGGCTAGCACTTCTCAAATAGTGTTGAATAACAGCGGCAGTCATGGGCACTGTCATTTTTCCTGATTTGATTCAGACTTTTCTGGTGTTTTACTCTTACACATGTGGTTTGAGAAAGATGATTTTTGCCTTTTTCAGCAAGTGCCCATCTGTTTCTATTTTACTTAAGTTTTTTCTTAAGTCACAAGTAGACATTGCTTTGTTAGATGCCTGTCTAGGTGATCATCACACATGCCCTCTTCTTTGGCCTATGATGAATTACATTAATAAGTACATTAATATCAAGAAATTACCTAGCGTGGAACCACGGGGTGAATTTTTCTAGGGATGAAGTGTGAAGGAGAGGCTGTCTGTGTTCATCCTTCTGCCCAGGAAGGGTGTGACAGACCAAGAATTCACGTATGCCGATTCTTTCTCCCCCACAGAGATAGAGTTCAACATTACAGGCAATTATGGGAGCCCGGTACACGTGAACCATAATGCCAACTACAGCTCCATGCCCTCCCCAGACATGGACCCTGCCGACCGGCGCCAGCCCGAGCAGGCCCGCCGGCCCCTCAGCGTCGCCACGGATAACATGATGCTGGAGTTTTACAAAAAGGATGGGTATGAACTAATGTCCCTTTCTCAGCATTGGGGATTGGGGGCATTGGGGGTGGGGAGCAGTGAGATGTAAGAAAACCAAGAGGGACAGGAAGGCTCTGCTTACCGTCACCAGGTTAGGTGACATGTAGCAATTAAACTGCTACTTCATTCTTGTTACTTTCATCTGTACCATCTGGGACAAGTCTCTTTGGCTTGCTTCCCTTCAGACCAGAGGTAAGTACAGGCTTCCTAGCTGACGTGATTGTGATCAGTACTAATTAGTTCTCATCAAAAGAAAAATAAAAGTTGATCAGTGAGGGGAATTGGGAAAAAAAAAAATCCATAAGCACTTTACTTTGACTCAAAACATATAAATGTATGTCGGTTCTCGAATCTTCAGTGGCTTGACTTTGGGTATAGAGCTGAACATTTGCATACTTCAGAAGCATCCTGCATAAACACCTCTAATGCATAGTTTAACATTCCCAGTTTCAATCTCTTGAAAATAGACTGAGAACCTAAAACTTGAAGCAATCTCAGTGTAAAATCCTTGTGGGTTTTTAAGATGTTTTTCTCACTTTTATGATTTACACCCATACTTTCTTTGGTGCAGTTGTTATGAGACTCATAAATGCATTCAACTTAGTTTGCATAAGAACCCTCCCCACATTCATATTGAATCCATTTCCATAAGGTTTAACTGCATGATGTGCTTCCCATAATGAGTACCATGGGCATACACAGGTTTCATAACAAGCACAGCTGACTCATGGTAAGCACATCCTCAGCCACGGCAACCAAAGTCTGTGGACTTATGAGAACGTTCAGCAAGCTAAAGGCAGCAGTTGATATGTCTTACAGAAGGAAGGGGTTGCACTGGTTGGTCAAGCAAGTCAGGTAAACTTTGGTTAGGCATTAAAAATGACTACTATAAAATAAAATTTAGCAACTGCTCCTTCAGGACAGATGGGAGCATAAGGCATTGAATGGGTGTATCAGAAATGCAGACAGCAGGAAGTAAAGCAGCTACAACTTTCCCCTGACAGACCACTGACAGCCAGAAATGTCTGCTTGTTAGACCTATGGCCTAAGGGGCTCAGGAGGGAAGGTTGAAAACTCAGGAACTATAGGGGTGCAGGAGTCTTATTTTCACCCATCTTTTTGGGTGGGAGTTGGGATTGGAGACCTGGACCCATTTCCTGTGATGGTGGTGGCATCGTCAGAGTGGCTGGTGTCCCCGCTTGACCCCTCACTCATCAGAGACAGTTCATGTGGGCAGGTGGGGTGTCTGTGTGCTGTGCCTTTGTTTGTTGTTCCCTGTTGTCTTAGCCTGTCTTCTGTCGCTTGTAATAGAATACCTGAAACTTGGTAGTTCATAAAGAAACGGAATTTATTTCTTACAGTGTGGGAGGCTGGGAGGTCCAAGGTCAAGGGGGTACAGCTGTTGAGGGTCTTTGTGCTGGTGGGGACTCTGCAGAGTCTCGAGGCAGTGCGGGGCATCACATGGGGAGGGGCTGAGTGTGCTCACTCAGGTCTTTCTGCCTCTTCTTATAAAGCCACCAGTCCAGTCCTGTGGTAACCCATTAATCCGCTAACCCATTAATCCATGAACGGATTAATCTGTCCGTGAGAACAGAGCCTCATGACCCAATCACCTCTTAAAGGCCCCACCTTTCACATACCATGATTGGATTTTCCACCCTATTAATACTGTTACAGTGAGGATTAAGCTTCAACATGAGTTTTAGAGGGAACACACATTCAAACCACAGCATCTGTCTAGAGGAGAAGGAAAAAATGGAAATTCTTAGAAATTCAAGTGAGTAGGGAAAATTTCTTAAATCTATAAAAAGGAGCATCAAATCTCTCTCTGAGAGAGAGAGAGAGAGAGAGAGAGAGAGAGAGCGAACTATAGAGTGGATTGGAATATGTTTTTAAGTCTCATTCTAAGTGACTCAGTTGCTTTGTGAAATTTCTCTCAGGTAAGGGGATGCCCTTGAGGGTAAATTCTGGTCCTAGCTGGGATGCAGAGAACTCCTCACATTTGGTCCCAGGTGTTTCTGCCTCAGAGGTGGGCTACTCCATCCTCCCTGTGACCTGGCCTGATTCCCAGTGCCCCTGGAAGGCCATCCAGATGGCCTCTAAGAGGGAGTTATCACTGGCCCACTATAGTATGCAAGCAGGTGCAGAAGCTTGAACGATGGTGTTTTAAGCATATGCCTCATCACCAATAAAGTCCTCTTGCTTATGAACTTTGTAAATGATATGCCCATTCTGTGTGCCATTCTGATTTAAAGTTGAAACTGCCACCATCTATTTTGAGTGTAGGAGATGCACTATATAAATTATTGTTGTACATGAAATAAAATATATTTTATATAAAATTTGAATTAAATATTAAATTTAATGGAGGTCTTACCAGTTTACGACTCTTTCTGAGTTGTCTGGGGTTTAGCATCAGTATATATGTATGTTTTAATGTACTGTGAGCTTGTGGAAGGTCAGTTTTTAACTGGCTTTATAGTTAAAAACTCTAAAGTTGTGAGTAAGTGTTCTGAGGGAGAGGAAAGGAATTTGCATTCTTGAGTCGCTTTGTTATCTTAGCAATATTAGGGGAATTTTTTACATTTGTCCTCAGTTCTGATGTTTTAAAAATCTGTGAGCTTTATTTTGAAGTCTTCAGACTGCCCTCTGAAACACTGACAAATTAAAGCTCACATTATTAAAGTGTTTTGAACAGGTTAAAAAAGGAAATATGAATTATATATCAATAAATCTGTTACTTTAAAAAACAAAGAAAATTTGAGGCAAAAAAGTGGATAAAATTTCAAAGAAATAGTAAGTTCCCCATCTGTGTCAGTGACATTTTCCTGGGCTGATGACTGTCACATCCTAGGGGTCATACAAAGTGGTTACGATTTAGGACTCTGGTCCTGATGCCTTTCTGATTCATGACACAGGAAACTGAGTTTGTTCAGTGAGTTCTGGGGTCAGAGTCAGGAGCTCACATGTACATTTTTTATCATTGTGGTAGGCAGAATAAGCCCCCCACCCCACCAAAAGATATCAGGTCATAAACCCTGGAACCTTATATAGGAAAAGGATCTTTATAGAGGTGATTAAAATAAGCATCTTGAAATAAGGAGATTACTCTGGATTATCAAGGTGGGCCCTACATGACATCACATGCATCCTTGTAAGAGGGAGGCAGAAGGAAATTTTACTACATACACAGGATTTTACTACAGGAGGAGATGTGAAGATGGAGCAGAGAGAGATCTGAAGATGTGGCTACAAGCCAAGGAATGCTGACAGCCACCAAAAGCTGGATGAGGCACAGGGGCACGGGATGGATTCTCCCCTAGAGCCTCTGGAGGGAGCATGCCCCACTGACACCTTGATTTTGGCCCAGTGATACTGATTCTGGAATTTTGGCTTTCAGAACTATGAGAAAATAAATTTCTTTCATTTACCAACTTTGTGCTTCTTGTTACAGCAGCCACAGGAAACTAATATGACTGTCTACTCTAGTGACACACCAGGAGCTAAGTGGAAAAGATGGTAGCAGATGCTTTGATTGTCCTTCACTGAGCATTGGAATCTAATTGCCCTCCCTTCCCATCTGAGTTGGCCTTGTGATTTACTTGACTAACAGGATGTGGCAGAAGTGATGTTCTGGGACTTCTGAGGCTAGGTCAGAAGAAGCCTTGTCCATTCATCCTGGGTGTCTGGGGACACAGCGACCATGCTTCACGGAAGTCCAAGCATCCCCTTGGAGAGAAATTGGGGCCCCCAGCCTTAGCCCCTGTTGTGCACTGGGCTGACAGCCAGCTGTCTGAGTGAGTGGTCTTGGATTCATCAGACTACCTCAGCAGATGCCATTTGGAGCAGATAAGCCGTCCCTGCCAAGCCCTGCCAAAACTGGACTTGTGACTAAGATAAATAACCTACTAAGTTTTGGGGGTGGTTTGTCACATAACAAAGATAGCCAGAACAAGCTTTAAAACAAAGAATACTGATGTCCTGCACCCCCTCCCAAATCCTTCAATCTGATTTAATTGGCCTTGCCTGGGATTGGTATGTCTTTAAAGCACTCCCGGTGATTCCGATGTGCATCCAGGTTTGAGAATCCCTGAATGTCCTGCACCCCCTCCCAAATCCTTCAATCTGATTTAATTGGCCTTGCCTGGGATTGGTACGTCTTTAAAGCACTCCCGGTGATTCCGATGTGCATCCAGGTTTGAGAATCCCTGAATCACAGGATAATTTTGCCATTCTGAATAAAGAATCTGGCAATAGTACAATTTTTATTTTTATTTTTGGGGCTGGCCACAATTTTTTTTTAATTTGTCAGTATGTTACTTTAGCCATTGAATGTTGGTGCGGTACATTGTCAACTCTGCCAATACAATTAAACCAATTTTTTCAGTATATGACTTCTTAAGTCTTTAACATGCTGTTACCTGCCACAAATCTCCACAAGGGGGCTGTGGCATGCATTATTTTCCAAATTTATTAGATTACAGAACCTGAGACCATCACAACTAGTGCGTCAAGGGACTTGTTTTTGTAATTACAGATACTGATATCTTTTGTAGATCCTACAGTGGAGGGATGGCCAACACATAAGAAAAAAGTAACCCCCTTTTTTTTTTTTTTTAAAGGGATTATGTCATGGATAGGTGGTGCAATAATTTTATTTTGGAGCCTGAGCTTATAACAAGGTTACCTAGGAAGTAATCTGCATACCAGTGGGACTCGTATTTTGACTCATATTTTGGTTTAGCATTATCCAAATGGAACTTTCAGAGGTGTATTCTTGGCCTAGGCCTCCTACCTCTGCTTTCTCCCCAGGACTTACACATTTACAGATGCCAGGACCAAGTCTGAAATGTTGTCAGAGGACTTTGGCCTTTACTTGTAGTGGGGAGATTAAGATGTGCTGTTGCTACTTATTTAGAGGAGTTATTCCCAGAAGCACTGGAAAATGCCTAATTTTTATTTTTTTTTAACCCCTCGCT